TCTGATTATAAGGGTTGTATAGCTAGCGATCGTGGATGACTATAGCCGCCAGACTACTAGAGGTGATTCGCAGATTTTGTAATAGGTAGTTAAGTACATTTTACTTTCTCTGGCGAACACCGTGCACAGAACGTTAGGTTGTATAATATATGGTAATTGTTAAAAAAATATTTTTTTAAGAGCCGTTAAGTGTGAGTAAATATAATTCACTATGCATCAGTTGGAATTGTAAAATTTCCACTTGTTAATGAAACGTTGAGGAGGGAAAAAAAGATAAGACGAAAACAGATAAAGCGAGAGAAAGAGAAACGGGTAAAAAATGAGCGAACCCTATTTAAACAGAAACGATAATATATTTATATGATTTCAATGTCGAATACAAATATTTTTTAGTAATACTTCCCTCGGTACAACTGGTACAAGTTTGTAATGTTGTAATGTTTTATTTTAAAAACATTTTTCTTAAAGTTATTAGAAAACATTACAGATATTTTCGAAATTTAAGGAGCTCTGTATTTTTTGAAACTTAAATGGTAACGTACATATTTTATAACATTTTAAATAAAGAATTATTTACTGACTATTTTAACTCGTTGATAACTTGTTTGAAATAATTATAAACGTATAAAAAGATTCAAAATTAAGTTATGTTCATCTATTTTATCAAAATTTGAAAACTTCTTATTAATATATTTAACAATCACTAAATTTTACTTTGTCCCAGGATATTAAAAATTATGTCTTTTCAATACATCATTGTTATTATATTATTAAAAATAAGAAAACATAATTCGTTTTGTTAAAAATAAACTTCTTAAAACTATTGGTTTTTAAACAAAATAGAGGAAAATAACATCTTGTGTTTTATTATTATCGTTATCGTTATTACGATCCTTTTTTTTTAAATAATCATTAAAATGCTTAATTCCTACTTAATTTATAAAGTATACAAATCTAACAAGGAAAATATAATGAATAATTGACACTACAATGAACAGAGTCTGCCCTTGTCGAAACAGTGAACCATAAAATGCGAGTTTTATTTTGATTTGAGTCTGAAAATTGTAATTATATTATATTATATAAAAACATAAAACCGGCATTTTACAAAACATAAACGTTTGGCTATCAACATTTATGTGTATGCATTCAAGCTATCATTATTGTGATGGGTGGATTTATTTATTAATAAGTGTTAACTTATTGAGTATCAAATGGTTGTATTTCCGTTGTATGACATGTTTTACTAATTATCTTAAAAAATAAATTTAATACCGTTTAGTCGTCTCCGGAATTTTGCATAGAAAATACTAAACAGATAAGTTTTATGGCACTGTAAAGTGTAAACTAATTGAATTTACATTATATTATGAACTACTTTCACCAATCCTTACTCCTTATTACTAAAACTATTTTTTAATTTTATTTATTGAGATTTTGTTAAATAAAACATTATACCTCGACAATTACAATATTTAACAATACTAGGGGTTTGTAGACTGGCATTTAATACATGCAGAGTGGATGTTAGAAGGGAAACCAATGGATTGATATTCGCTCTAAATTCGTCCAGAAACTTTGAGAGGGGACCAGAGCGATAGGGAGAGACGTTGTTTGACCTGTATTGACAGATGCGTATAATCGGGGCTGTGGTGCAGAGTAGGATTGAATCTGCTTGTGTGCGGTAGGTATGGAGTGGGCAAATTAATGGGAATCGAGTAGCGAGTTCACTGTTTGTTTTAGATAGTAGGTTTATTCCGATTATGGTCCTTATTGATTTTCTATTTTCTTATAGTAACGAATTTTTTTTATAGATTTTATATCCATTGTAGTTTGCCATATGATCTTTGTTGCAGAGGACATATTTGGCTGGTGAGTCTTGTGATTTTTGACATAAGACATTCTTTTGAGGAATAGTTATTATCACATTTTACGCAACGTGGTTGATGAGAACACAAATTAATTTGATGAAAATAGGCTTGACAGTTCATGCATTGAAGAATAAGGTTAGGTTTTCGTGGTTTTTCAATCTTAATATATGTACTTAAAAATATGAAATATTAAATATCTCTGTGTTGTTATCAGATCATTCTAAATCAATTATCCAAAAAGGAAGGGGGAGTTTTGTCTATTGGCTTAAAATATTGATAGTACGTAGATATAGCTATGTGCGGCCGTGTTGCTTTAAAGCAGTAGATACCTATGTCATTTACAAGTGTTGAGACTTGAGTGATGTAAATGTATTTTAATTATTACGCTGAAGGGTTTGGTTGCTTTTGGAAAATATGTATGAAAATTATATTTTCGTTTCTTAAAAATGTTTAAAAGGATAGTATGATCTTCTAAATTTCCCCTGACAATCAAGTGAAATTTCGTAGACTTGTTTGAAAGCTAAAGCTTACTCAGTCCAATCAAGGCCAAATTAGTATAGCTTTATCTGAGTTTTACTAAATATTGCGCCGGTATATTTGCGATATACCTAATACAACTGACGCTATATCGTTTTTAAAAACGTCAAAAATGTCCTTTCTTAATTAACTAATTATTCATATATATATATATATATATATATAATATATAATTTTTTTTTTTTGAGCTGCTGTTAATGCAGCTTTAACTAAATAAGACACTTGATTTTTTTTTTTACTTATTTATTGACTATTTTTATTTTTTTTATATGGCGTGATTTTAGACATTAGGCATTATTAAAACATAAAAATAAATATTAATTTCAAATAACTTTTATTGAAACTAATTTTTCATTTAATAAATGATTAATATTATAACAACTGAAGCACTGAATAAAAATAGCCAACATCAGAACAATGCATTTTAAAATTTATATTTAATTTCAATATCAACATTTAATTTTCTTTTTTATTATTTATAGAAGTAGGTATAATATAAGTAATCGCTCTACCCTAAAAAAATTAAAACTATAGATTTTGCTACTAAAACTAATTGATACTAAATAATGAAAAATAAAATTATTTTAAAATTTTTAATTATTATTATTTAGTAAGATGAATTGTTGGTTAGCCATCTAAAAAAATATCAATATATGGATTAAAAAATTGAATTAATCTTAATTGATCTATTATATATAAAATATGTCTCTGGATAAGTATTAAATAATATAGGGATTTAATGCACTGAATATTATTATTATGTAACTGTCCAGATCTAAAAACCTAAAAGATTTGCATCGAGACATTTTATTTAACCTCTCTTTGGACGTTTTTATAAGCACTGCCAAATAGTCAATCAAAAATCAAAATAATGTTTGTATCATTCTTTATTCACTTCTTTCCCTTTAAAGTTTTAATATAATATACAGATTGACCTCTAGATATTTCATTCATGTTTTTTACTCTTAAGTACTTAAACACTTTTGAACTTCTGTTAAACTACCAGACCTTTAATATACATATTTAATGCATTCTGCTGAATGCTGATGGTTATACATTCTTAACCTACGGACTACAGTACGTCATTACCGGATAATGACATAGACAGTGATTTCTGAACAAATAAGGATTTTAATTCAACCAATATCAAGACATATTACATACTACGCGTGTATGGTTCTCTTTTAAACCATTGCTTACTAAGCTCGTGAAGTAAGCAACACTAGATACTTGATTTTCAACATATCTTACAAAATTAATATTATTCAAATTAAAAAAAATAATTGTATTTTAAGCAAGTAGCACACTCGCTTTATTAGTAGTAGAACATTTCCGATCTGACAGATAGCTAAACTTACACTACAGTTAATGAGCACTTAGCATGCAAAATACTTTTACAAAACTAGTTATGAATCCTGATTACTAGATAAAGGTACCATGAATTATAACGACATTACTTTAAAACGTAGTGCGCTCGCTCGACACCGTGGCCGTCGTAGCCGGGCACCCCCCTCGGAACCGCTATGTACTGACATACATACAACATACTACGTGATTCCTATATGTTTCCTTATGTTAATGAATAATGATATATTTTTGTTGGTAAATAATTGATATAATTTGAGTTCATTCGGCGATTGAAATATTGATGGTGATAATAGAATTGTATACCTATGGTTTAGGGTTATTTTGATTGTTGTGAGAGTTTATGTTTTTTTTTGTTATGTTGTATTGTATGGTGTCAACTTTTGTGTTGGAGTTGTTATTTTGTGGATGACACACGAGTACATAAATATTGGTTTTAAAAAATGTATCAATTAGTATGTCTTATATATTTTTATTTTTCATATGATGTATTCGGTATTCCACATTGATGAACTAACCGTTTACAAAATAAATTATCGCAAAAATAATTACACTTTGAGTGGCGATACGTTAGATGCTGTGAGTTGCTCAAAAACCATACCAAGCTTATACAATATACTTATTACTGTCAATTTCAAACTTATCATGTATTTATTTATTATTATAATTCTAATAATTATAAACAAATTGTTATTTATTTTATAGATACTTTTTTTTCTCGAACACTTGACTCACTGAAGAAACGAAAAGAGATTTAAAGATTACATTTTATTATCATAAAAAAAAATATGACGTGTACCCTAAAAATCTCAGTAGACGATAAATGTTAAAACTTGCGGTAAAAATTAAAATATGGGGTTTCAATTATTATTCTAATGTTCTTAACTGAAATGATAAAAAAAAAATGCAAACTTCGATGTGTGAAGTCCTCTTAACTAGAATATCGAAATTAAGATATTGTGTACTATATGAAAAAAAACTTGATATAAATTCGCGCGTGTTAATTTGTTTTTTAAATTGCGGTAACAACAAAAATATACTTGATAAAAAAAAAAAATTACAAAATATATCTTCATCGGCTAATTGCTTATACTGTAATAGTAAGGACAATATTCTAGTTATAAAATAGAAAGAACACAGGTAAAATTATTATTTTCTGTATTATCACATAAAATAAAAATTTTTGTACGACTTAAAAGACACACATAATAACAATATCTAACTGATTTGCTCATCACTAATGATATAAGTACACAATATTAACAAAGTAAATAATTATAAACTAATATTATAATAAATTTTGTATTTTATATTCACCACTGTACTTAACATGAATTACATAATTCGTATTCCTTTTCTTATTAGGTACAACGAAATAGGATTTTTTTTTTGTAGTATACATACTTAAATAAATGTCTTACATTACATTGCAATTTGAAAAATATGAAGAAAAAAAAGTATCATGACATTTTTAATCAGTTTTTATATACATAATATAAATATCCAACCTTAAACCGATTAAATACATCACAGATTTATAAAAAGGAAAAGTTTGTGGCACTGGCAAATCTGACACATTCCGTTAAATTAATATCCATTTAGTCCGTTATAAACTTTATTGACTGAACTTTGACTCAAAATTTTCACGAGGTCTGAAACAAGACAAAGAATACATTATTTTTTAACAGCACATTTACTATTTGGTATAATTATTATTAGTCTGTTTGCAATACCCCCTTTCCTTATGCACTAAAAGATGAGGTGTTTTTTGGTGAGGAGAGGGGGGGAATCCGAATATATAATTAATTTCTTCCTAATTCTACGCAAATCCTTGGATATTAACAATTTTTGGTCAAATTTTATAAGCAAACATTTTTAAAAAAGCGATGAATGTTATAAGAAAATGTTTTAATCAAGTTAATTCTCTAATTTTAAAGAAAAAAGCTATTAAAGTTACAATATAGCTAAAATAAAACACATAAATATAAATTTAAAATATAACTAAAATTGGACAATAACCTAACAAAATATGAATTATTGTTTATAAACTAACTGTGCAATGGCTTCCTGCTGACAGTGGCAGTTTTTTCTGAACAGCGTTTTCACATGATTTTTCTTATGCAAAATTAATTATAATTGAAAATTCTTTTCAAATATAGTTTCAATCTTATCTAGTATTCATAACCTACAAAATTGTAATTTTTTCGACGATAGTTGAATTATTGTAGAAAATAAATTTTCTAAAGTTTTATGGATTTTATAATGAAGAAGGGATGATTAAACCAGAAACTGTGAAAATTTTAATTCCTTCAAACACAATACTTGTTGCAAATTGTAAATGTAAATCTTGTGAACGTGTAACTTGCATTGCCGTACTAATAATGTTCCACGTACAATATATATCATACTGTAGTTGTTTTAAATTGTACAGTTGTAAAAAACCATTTAAAAAATATATCAAAAACAAATATATAATACGTAATTATAGGAATAATAAATGGTAATTGTTCATTTATGATAATAAATTATTATATTTATTAAATTATCGTTGAAAATTTTAAATAGAATAAAAAAATTGTGCGAAAATGTATATCTTGTGACAGTTGGATTTTATTTTACTGTAATATGCTTTTTCCATTAAAATAAGAATAACTTTTGTTTGAAACATTTTTTCATAACATTCATTGCTTCTGTAAATCCGTAATTGTTTGTCAATTTTGACCAAAAATAACAAAAGGTCTGCAGGATTACGAATAAATGTAAAAAAACACCGCGGACTTTTCAGTGCATACAGAACTATATAAGTTTATATTTATTCATTTAAGAATCAAGAGAAAAAATGTGTTAATAATTGTATTAATTGGATAATCATGAAATATATTTTTCTTCGCTTAAAAATGTGGTCAGCTAAATTCCTTCAACACCTGATTTGACACTAGTGAATCAACCCACATTGCTTAAGAACTAAGATTGACACCTTGTATCACTGTGTACACTGTACACATAGTTTGAGTATAAACACTGCACTTTTTAGAAGACTTGTGTATACATTTAATCGTGACTATTTATTAGGGGTGGACACTTACTTTATTAAACTTTTTCGGGAGTAGTTTAAGGAATCAAGGTTTAAAATCAGACTGATGATAGAAATAGGGACATGATATAACATTTTCTCAGAAATCTGAGGTTAGGATTTTTGTTTATCAAAAAAAATAATATTTAATTCTTCCAGAAACTTTTAAATATGTAAATTTTACAGTTTTTAAGTTAGTAAAATTAATAAAAAAAGTTGAATCACTACCTTGTTTGTCTTCGTCACTGAAGTCATCACTGGGGAATTGTATGTCAATGGTAATAATGAGATCACCATGCAAATTGTTGTTATCATAGTTAGACATTCCTTCGCCTTTCTTACGAATTTTAGCACCAGGCCATGTTACTTTATCTTTTTCAATTACAATTTTGCGGCCATCTAAATGTTTGATTTCAGTTTTAAAACCAACCAGTGCATCCTATTTTATTGAAAAAAATATACAAATGAATAAGACTACAACTTTAATATTGTATCTAATTTACAATTGAAATATAAGAAATAAATGTATAATTTTGTCATACAAATTACAAACCTGCAGTGAAATAGTTAAGTTTGTGTATAAATCATCACCCCGCCTTTCAAACACAGTGTGTGGTAATGTTTTAATTTTGAAAACTAGGTCTCCTGGTTCTCCATCAATGTGTGGTTCACCTTCTGCAACAAACTTAGTTTCTTGACCATCCATCATGCCAGGTTCGATTTCGATTTCTAACATGTTTTCTTCAGTAACCATTCTAAAAAAAACACATATTAACTAGATAGAAAATAAATAAATTATTAGTAGTGCAATTTATTTATATAACAGGCAAATATACTTAATTCATAACCAAAACTAAAATTTGATTTCAATTTTAAACTTAAATTCTTCAAAAATGGTATAGAGTTAAAATAATAATTACAGAAAAGTGAGGTACTTATTGCCCAGATGCATATCATATGGTGAATAACATGGTTCTTGGTAATAAATTATTGGTACTATTGATCGGAACAACAACAAAAGGAAAGTAGGATCATTGATTATAAACACAATATATTTATAATCAATGGTAGTATCTAGCAGAACGAGAAGGAAGTTCATTTGAGAAAAGAGAGAAGTATTTACATAACTGTTTATCAACTCACATAGGAATACCTAACACTAATACTTAAGTTGGTCTTAACTCTCCTATGCGCTAAGGAGATAAATTCGAGGTTATGCATTAACCATGTGCAGTTTAAGGAAATTTTAAGATGAATGCAGCATATGATAAAAACCGTCTCTGAACTTTAACTCTTTCAATGTCCATATAGTAAAGCCTAGGCAACTAAAAAATTCTACAGAAAACTTCGGTCCTTACATCAATCTCCTCCTGAAGATTTATGAAGTCCAATATAATCTTAATTTTGCAAAATAGTTTTAAATCAACTAGAAATATAAGAAATCTTCAGTCTGGGATCACCGACATAAATAGCATTAATTAAATACTTAATCAATGTAAATAGTAACGGGATAAGTACTCTTTCTGAAGATAACCTGAGATAACACTTTCACCCATTAGACTCTACCAGTTAAGTAAGATTTAAACCAGAATAACAAAAGCTCATCAAGCCCAGCTTTAAAGAGTACCTCCCACAAGAATATTGGGGTTAACACGATTAAAGGTTTTTCCATAATCAGTAAATATGACATCAACCTTGAAGACGTGGTCTTCAATGACATTTACAAAAACAAAAATATTAATAACAACCAAGTTCATAACGGTAGATTGATTAGGTCTAAATCCATACTGCTAATTAACTTAGATTGGGTTAATCGATGGTTAAAAATAGTTTGAAAAGTTTTGCAATGAAAACATTTTTCTTAGCGCCTGAGTGGTAGTACTGCACGTCAGTAGTTAAATGTTAAAATATTAGTATGGCTGAATTCAGAATTTTATTCTCTACTCTATGTCATAGAATTTCTAGGAAATTATCTAAACAAATTTAAAATGTAAAAAAATCATTAGAATATAGTAGTAGAGTAATTTTTTTTGTGCGCACTGGTAAGTAGATTATTCTCACAAACATTTCTTTGATGTTACAATGTATTATCAAAACATTCCGGTGAACATATTTGGCAAATGTTTGGCAATGTGGACTCATCTTTATAAAAATCCTAGTAAAAAACTTTTTTCAAAATAGCAAATTTTTTGTTCAGAACTTATCGTATTGAAAGTGTAAAATATTCACCATTATAACATGATAAAGGTTGTTCGCTAAGTTTGAAATGTGACAATTTATGAATCCGACAATGTTTTTTTTTTAAAAAAATGTTTTAATGTTTAATTTTATTATATTTTTTTTGGTTATTGGTAGCACTAAAAGTCATCACATTCCAAACTTTGAACATCCTGTTCAACAGAATAATAAACCTATAAACAAAGTTAAGCAATATATCATAGTTATATCATGAAATTGGAAAACAATACTTACTTAACATTTGGGCATTCGTCACATACATTTTGCTGCATCATTTGAAAACGTCCGGGGCCTAATTGTTTGGTGATCATTTCTTGTCTACAATTACATTGCCTTGTTCCATGGGATGGTTTTATTACAGGTTTATTACGTGTAATCTAAAAATAAAAATAACATATTAAATATAATGAACATACCAGTTGGTTGCTATATTATACCGTGGCTTCTAAAGAACAACGACCTAACAGCAAAAAGTCTAATTTTAATGGAGAATGAATTTTAAAAAAACCAGATAATTCTGACTAATTAATTAATTAATTCTTTGCAATCTTATTTATTGACTTAGTAAATTTATTCATTGTTCTTGATTCTAAATTCATGAAAAACCCATTTTTTTAAAATGTCTACCTAGGTCGTTGTTCTTCGGTTAGGTTACCTTACAATTTCAAACTATGGGTAATAAATTCATGAATTTATTCGAGTACACAAAGAGAAGTAGCAGAATATTTATTAAATAATAAGTTCATAGAATAATATTGAATGTGATTCGAATAATAAAAATCATCATAGACAAAAAAGAAATACAACTAATTAGGCTTTATTAATAGGACGCCACACCACCCATTTATTAAGGAGTAAAGATAAGCAATTTTCCGCAAAATTTTAGTTATGAACTTTAACTACAGAGTATACTTAATACATTAATCAAGATTCTTTATTGTATTGGTTTTTTTACCATTGTATGGTTGATTACCCGTTGACTGTTGATTCACTCACACATAGCAACCTCGAAATTGACTACGGCCAAAGTGTAATTTTCCCCTTTTTTTGGAGTTTTTTCTTTATAAAAAAAAAGTTAGACTAAAGATTTTTGAAAAAATAGGATACGTCATAGTTCCATTTTAGATTTACCTTTGGTCTAATTTTCAGATCTAAATCCCTGAAACTTTGCTTAAAAAAGTGAAATAAAGTAAAAATTTCCATCCCTTCTATTCCAGGGGAAAGGGTTTATGATATATTTTTGGTTTATCAATTTTTATCGGTAGTACTATATTTAAAGAATATTCCCTATAAATTTGGAATTAATTTGACTATTTTTAAAAATAGTTATAGAGTATTGCAATTTTAAGTTGAAAAATAAGTACTTTTTTTGGGTGTCAGGGAGAAGTTGAAAAAAAATTGCGCTATATCTGAACACCTTCCTTGTCTGTTTAATTTTATAAATACTGTAAAATCATGTTCAAAAACAAAATGACATTAGAAAATGTAAAAAACTATTTACTTATTTATACTACTTATAAAAACTAATTTAATTTGAAAAATGTAATAACATATAAAATAAAAAAATTATCGAATAATTTTTCCATCTGTAGTTGTTTAATTTAAAATGAGTGTTCTATGTAGCAATGTTTGAGAAACAATGCTGATAATTTAGTAAAAAAAACTAAATGCAATTAAAGAATAGTCAATAGTCATTGCTGTTTTAGTAGTTATCTCACTTTGCTTTAAGCTTAATATTAGAGTTAGCAAAAAAAATTGTCTATACCCAACTTCATAATAAATAGAGAATAATAAAACAATGTCTAAAATAAGTTAGCTTTTCAAGTAATTAACTTAGTAGCTCAATTTTTTTTTCAAAAGTCAACGATGTTCAAGAGAGTAAAACAATAATCTCTTGAATAAAGCAAACTAATCTATTTAAGTCAAAATGGAGGCTATTGACTTTACAAACCTTTACAAAGTTTCCATTGTATAATTCTTCTAATGTAACAGCTAAATCTAAAACGATGGTACCACCTTTAGGTATTTCTTTTTGTCCAGGTGATTCATCAAAGTGGAAGCCAAAATCGCCAAAGAAACTTGCAAATGGATCATGACCACCAGACATAGAATCTTTTTTAACACACTTTTCTCCGCATCTGTCATAATCTTTACGCATTTTTTCATCGGAGAGAACTTCATAAGCGTTCCTTAGTTTAGAAAATTTTTCACCAGCTTCTGGATCATCTCTATTTTTATCTGGGTGAAGCTGCTTAGCCATTTTTCGAAATGCTGATTTAATCTGATTATGTTTTGCTGAGCGATGCACATTTAGTATGGTATAATAATCTGACCTAAGGATGATAATAAAATTAATAATAACCATAAGATTTTTAACAAATAATAGAAACAAATTAATTTATAAAAGTACACACGCTTTCTACCCTATTTATTAGTTATTTAATCAATCATAGCTTTGTGAATTTAGTTTGTGAGTTGAGGTGTTAGGGAAAATATCTTTTATACGTTTTAAAACCGGTAACTAAGTACAACAAATTTCCCGAAAACCCGGAATCAATGCATACCTTATGAGTAAACGAATCGAGTGGGCAGGCCATGTCTGGAGGTCAAACGGAAATTTTGGAAGCTTTGGAAGAAAAAATAAATGGGAAAAGACCTGAGGTCACCCTAGACAGTGCTGGGAAGACAGGGTCAACGCTGATCTAAACACGTGCACACGGGGAGTAACAATAGCGGGCAGCATGGATAGAGATTGATGGAGGAATAAAGTAGAGGCATCAAGTCTTTCAAGGACTGTAAAAGCTGGAGAATATTAACGAAATTGATAAAAATGTTAGGAAGTAGAATATATAAAAATAATATAACTTTATGATGCACTTTATACATCATACTGTTTATTTAAAATTTAATTATACAGCTGATAATATGACTGAATCTTATCATTATACAACTAAGATTATGATAGTGTTCTAACTACCTATATAATTTAATCTATTTTGCAAGGGTTTATGTAGCTCATAAGAGATTACATGAAAGTGTGTAGACTCAGTTTCCTAATTTTCTTTTTTAATATGCCTAATGGATGAATGATAAATACATTATAACTATAACTATACTTTATACAACTATCGAACCCATCATTCATTTATAATAAAAAAGTAACATAGTGATATTATATGATTTCCTATGTTAACTACAAATACTTAAAATACAATGTACTCATTTTTTTTTTTTATACTTTGAGTATTTTAAGCCGAGTAAATAAAAAAAATGTTTGCCATTGCTCATTTATTTATAACGTTGTAGACACGACTTATAGTGGTATATTATAATAGTAGTAGGTATAGAATTTAAAGTTCAAGATAATCGAGGACTAATGTCTTGGGAGATAGCTAAAGAAAAGATTATAAGAAAATTACTTACTCGCAGTACACCATGACGAAGAATAATATAAAATTGCATATTATAGTATCGGTGTTTAAAAGAATCATACTTCTAATATGGTCTATAACAAAATAATGTTATAATAGTAATAAATAATAATGGAGAAAAAAATATTTTGCTTAGACAACAACTACTGCACAATGGTCCCTTTTCCAAACTGACTAGAATCACAAAAAAACTAAATTGTATGCAGATAAAAATTATTCAAAGAAACGAAAAACAGCTTAAATCAAAACACAACGAAAAAAATCATTAATATTTAACATTTTAACAGAGATAAACACAATTTCAAAAAAAAAGTATGCGTTGTTCTGTATGGGTTTGATACGGTGTAATCATCAATAATGTGGACGGCTGTGATTGGTTAGTACTTAGATAGTCTTTGCCCGGGCGCAACAGCAATCGATACCAACCGACAACCACTCCAGGTTGCAGACTACATAAACCGTGGCCTGTGGAGGTAAAATCGATTGAACGCCGAATGACCTTCATTAAAGTAGTGGCCCGCGGCAACCGGCCACTGGGCAAATCAAATCAATACTCATTATATTTGTACACATGGCCATGTCGAGACACTGACGTCTGTGTTGAATGCTGATAAGCGCGCGGTGCACGCCGCACGGGAACATTGGTGTAAAGAATTGACATATTTTAATGCATAATATATTATAATATGTCAATGGTGTAGTGTTCACTGTTCATGATGGAAGGGCGGACGTCTGTAGACCGTATTGATTTTCGGTATGCAGTCTGCAGACACAAATAGTTAGGCGTGAACTCAAAAGCTTATTCTCTGGTCATTTTACTACTACAATTAATCTCTGATTAATTATAGTATGAAATGCGAGTAATACAAATATATATTTTTTCTTAATCTTGTCAGTTGTCACACAATCTCAGTGGAGTAAATAGGAAAATGGCTGTAAGCCCTCCTCGCAATACATTGTGGAATTATATTATTAATGTCACCTGCATAGGCGGAGATTTGATTAATTTTTTGGAAGGGGGGGAGGGTAAATACGCTAGGGCAATTCTGAATTTATAAAAAAACATTTATACATAACAGCAAGTATAATGAAAAAAAATAAGGTTAAAATTTTCTAAAGTTATCGCGTTTTTACTTCTATCTTGAAAAGTAATTTTGATATTCAATTTCGAGCTGAACCATTATTTTAGGCGTAAAAAATACATATTTTGAAATACAAAAAAATTTTAAAAAGTTAACCTTCACGAAGTTATTGTACTTTTTAAAAAATTAAGTAAATTAAGTTTTTGCTTATAACTTCAAAAGTAAGTTCGACCCCCAAAATTTACATCATCGTATTTAGCGTAAAAAAGCATTATTAAAAACATTTTTTTTAAAAAAGCAGTGCTAAATTTTAGGGGGGGGGGCTAAGTACCTCCACTAATTTTTTTGGATATTTAAGCGTGCTCCAACTTCTTTTTTAAAGGGGATCGCATGGAACGGGTTGTTACTTTTATTATCAAATTGCTCAACTTACATTTTTGTGTTATCTAAACATAAAAATATTACAAAATGTTCTAATATTCTCAACTATGGGATATTTAAATGAAGATTTTTAAAAATGAAAAATGATGATTTGATTTATATAAAAATAAGTTTTTTATACGCACCCCCGTCACCCACCAACCCATTCGTTTTCAGTACTTGTTGCCGACATGTTAATTTCTATTAACTCCGTCTAAAAAAAAAAGTAATAATATAATTTAGTTACTAACCAACGGCCTAATGCAAGGTTATTAGTTCTTGTACCCTTTCTGTTGAACTTGTACACATTTATAAACTATTGTTATTACCTTCGTCTATCTGAGGTGCAGGGATTGCTGTAACCAAAATAAAAATATAAAATATTATACGGTTAAGTAAAAAACATATAGGAACATGACTTTGAACTTTAATCGAATATTTATCTTTTTCATTTAGAACTGTATAATGATCAAATTCATGTTGTTTTTTTATTATTATTTATTAATATTATTATTATTGTTGTTATAATATTACTATTATTTTAATTAGATCAATAGTAAATTACGCTGTTAGATAAACATTATGAGGTATTGTAAATGGATTTAATATCCGTAATGAGAAATTAATAAATAAATATGCTGCCTTTAGCATATTTATTGCTGGCATAGGAATCGCATCTTAATACTAACTTAGTACCACGCACTAGCGGTCCCGCATAACGTTCCTGGGCGAGTCAAGACGGTCACGAGATAGCGCACCATATTATGCATTTAGTTAAACGTGCCCGTCATGTCTGGACTGTCGAAACTGAACCCCCCCCCCTTCTTTCTCCGTTTCTTCTTTTAGCAGAGAAATTAATTTATATTACATAGTGTTTACAAATTAGTAACAGGATCAGGATTAAATCTCTCAATACTCGTGATTCTAAGAATAGCTGTTAGGAAAATTACATTGTTCATAATATCCAAACAATCGCTAACGTATATTTTATTATTGGTATACGTATAACATAATTAAATTCGTAGGAAGCTACCATAGTTCATATGGTATTGTACACAAAATGTAATAATCTCTGTAATACTAAAGCAAGCTTTAATGCACTGTAGTGAAAGCTCGTACATACTTGATCATATACTAGGTGATTGGTTAACTATGGACCAATCAATAACTTATAAGATATTAGACTTTTTTTAATTGTTTTTTTTTTTAATTTAATAGTTATTAGTTGGGACAAATTTAATATATTTTTGAAAAATATAACCCCATCCCTTATATGTTAAAACCGTATGAACTTAAGAATTTTAAATGGTAAAGTATATATATTATTAACTTTTTAAATTAAGAAAAATTATCTGAACATTTTGACTGGTCGATAACCAGTTTTCGATAATTAGTTTTCAAGTTATTCAATTTTAAAAGTTACGACGGGAGGGAAGGGCGGTTGGGCAATGCGCGCAGATAATAACATCTCTATTCTCCACCCTTCCTCCCGTCCTAAATTTTAAACTTTAATAACTTTGAAACTAATTATCAAAAACTGGTTATCGACCAGTCAAAATATTCAGCTATTAACATTATTATTTTTTTTTCTTATGACTTTATTATTGAATATAAATATTTATAAATGCACAACAGTAAATGGGTAAACAGTAATAAAAATTAATAGTTTAGCTTGAATAACATGCAGTAGGGGGGGCACCCAATGGAGCTACCTACTTTGAATTTTGAGTTAGTTTATCTAATAATTATTTTTTGTTTGTTTTTGGTAGGCAGTTTTGGCGATATTGTTTACATAACTGATTTGGAGATCAGAATGAAGAGTTTTATTAGAAACATACCAAGGGCAATTTGTGAGTGTGCGTAGACAAATGGATTGAAACGACTAGATTTTTTGGATATTAGATGGAGCGGCACAGCCCCAGACTTGGATACCGTAATACCATAGTGGAAAGAGAAGAGTTTTGTAGGTGTGTGTTTTAAGTTTAAGATTAAGTTTGGAACGTAAGAGAGGGCGAAGTAGATGAAGTCTTTAACATTAACATTATTAATAAATAATGATAATTTTATCAAGACTCTTGTAGAAATGTAGGTGCATGACGTATGATTTCAATGGAGAGATAGTCTAATGGGTACCAAAATACAAAATGAATTATTATCTGGAGATAGATTATCAAAATAGTTGAATATTTGATTTACTATACTATACTTTAGATATTTCAAATAACCGCGTTGATGCTCAAAGTATATAGCAAATAATCAAAGCTAAAAAATGATTCTGTAATAATAATAGAACTTGACAAATAATAAAATCCGACCTTTGTACTCTCGAGGTAATCAGGAAAATAATATACACATCGTAATATTAATTGAATCAATGTCTCATCTGTGTTAGTATAGCTTTTATCAGCGTGTTATTATTATTATCGACAGGCGAGACAATGCGTATGTGTAAATCCAATTCACAGCTGAAAATGTTTTACAGTTTTAATAAAATAGTATGTAACCGGAATCGAAACAAACTAGATAAACCAACTGTTGTAAATATGCTTGCCTGGAAAATCTAGGGAATTGTTCCAGCCAAGCTGTTGAACATTTCTTATTTGTCTCTCAAACAAAATTACCGGTAAGTAATTTCTTATTAATATTATACGTCTTTATGACATTCGAAAAATGTGTTTTACCTGTACAATCAAACATACGTATTATGATATAAATAATAATAAATCATTTGTCTAAATTGTTTTTTTTCCATAAGACATAACTGCTGTATAAAGATCTCGGCTGGGTATTAATTCGTTAATACGTTTAATGTCGAATATATAATAACTTTTAACTTAACGTAGTTAATATTAATTTAACCAGTCTTGTCTTAAAGTATTTGTAGGCAAATTTTGAGATACGAAGCGAGTATTATAATATACAAATCTCATTTAAGATTTACTAAAAATGTACTGCCATAGTTACCCATACATCGTAATTAACAATAAAATGAAAATATTTTCATTACTTGTTGACTGTTGATTCACTTACGCATAGCAACCTAGAAACTGACTACGGCCATAGTGTAAATTTACCCTATTTTTGTTGTTTTTCCTTAATAAAAAAAAAAATTTTACTCCAGATTTTTGAGAAAATTGTATATGTTATAGTTCCATTTTAGATCTACCTTCAGTCTAATTTTCAGATCTAAATCTTTAAAACTTAGCTTGAAAAGGGTTAATGATATTTTTTTAGTTTGTTAATGTTTATCGGTAGTAATATATTTGAAGAATAATTCAAATAAATTTGGAACTTTTTCGACTATTTTTAAAAAAGTTAAAGAGCATCGTAATTTTAAGTTGAAAAATTTGTAATTTTTTTGGGTGTTTTTCTCGATTTTTATGAGGAAGTGGTGACTTTTTTTAATTTTTTGCCTAATTAAGTACCTTCCAGGTATGATTTCTGATCTATAGAGTTGCTACACGAAGAAATCGGTTCAGCCGTTTACGAGATATTGTGGGTCCAGACGAAAAATAAAAATAAATTAAAAAATAAAAACACATTATTGTAAAACCAATACCTTCTCAGCTAAAAATATTTCATTAAATATATGCTTTTCTAAAAAATAGTAAAAAAGTGAACTAAAAGTAAAAAATAATTATACATAGAGAACAATTTATTTATCAATTGTAGCAATTTTTTTTTAAAAAAATGTCAATTGCTTTGAAAACAACCAAAAATTAACTACAATTTTAAATAATGTTAAACATTTTTAATTTTTTACTAAAAAGAAAAGCGCGTGCCCTATTCAACAAAGTCCCTTATAAATTTGTCAGATAAAATTTCAGATAATGTTTTATATTGTAAGTTTTTTTGTGATTCATTTTTTACTTTTTAGTTCTATTAAAGGTACTTAATAATTGTGAATAGATTACTAAATTCAATTTGAATGATTTTAAAAAAACATGAAATTTAGTGAAATGACCCCCACATATGACCCTGTGTACGGTGACCTGGATGTCCGAGTCCCTATATTATTACAGGATATTGTATTATCGTTCGAGATGAGTGTCTGAGCAAAGTTTCAGCCTTTTACGACATCGGGAAGTGGGTTAAATTAATTTTGCAAGACTTGAAAAATACCCGTACAAACGTACGTACGTTTTAGCGAGTTAAAGAAAAGCATGTAAAAACTATTGTAATGCCCATAGACCAAAAGATTAATCTTTGGTTTTATTTTAAGCTATGATTTGGCTAGTGGCTTTGCTTCAGATGGTATGTTGCACTTTAACGTCCATAGTGCCTTACTCAGAAGATGTGTATAGCAGCATGGCGTTTGTATTCGACACCACAGGATCTATGCAAGACGACTACATTCAGTTGAGATCCCACGCTCAACAAATTATGGACTACGTACTTAAAAGAAACGATACTAATATTAAGCACTTTGTTTTAGTGCCTTTCAACGATCCAGGTAAAACTGGTTGACATTTTCAACAACAGTATACTTTTAAATGTTTAGCTCGCCTTTTAAAAATTACACATGTTAGGATTCCATTGCGATCATAACTTTTAAATTAAACATCTATAACTAACCACCTAACCTTTTGAATTTGAAACATTCAGAATATACAAAGTATAAATAATTAATAACATTTTCAAAAAAAAAAAACTTTTATTTTTACTTCTATCACTTCCAAAATGAAAATTATAATTACTACTACTGGTTACTACTTAACCTTGCCTGCCTTAACTCCACTGTGCTCACGTGATTTTGAAATTTTGAAGTTGTTGGGCCTGCGTCAGAAAGTTTCGATCCATTGGTAATCATGCACATGTTGAATAAAATTAACGTGGTCGGAGGCGGTGATTGTCCCGAAATGGGTGTGACGGCCATAATTCAAGCATTGGAAATTGTCAAACCCAATTCTTACATTTATGTATTCACTGATGCTTCGGCCAAGGACGATAAATACATTAACCAAGCATTAGACCTCATTCAAAGAAAACAAGTTCAGGTAAATTATCTGTAATCAAATAGTGATAACTTTAAAATTCGTTTTTTTTTTGTTTTATATGAGTGCCGATGATTTATATTTTACAAAACGAATATTTTAAGTTTATAATATAGTAAATACCTAATTCCTAAAGTAATTGCTATTTGATCTCTAACTCCGGATATTAAATTATTGCATTAAAAAAAAACTAGTGAACTTTGTGCTTCTAAAACTTATACATGCATTATATATCGATTACCTGCGAACAATAAACTTTATCTGACTATTTTTTTTTATTCGTTTGGCAATTATCTGACCATTATTAAATCATAAAGAAAAAACTAAATGTTATGATTACCTTTCATAACTTATTTAGAACTAATCAGAATGCCAAGTCATCTTATTACAGTTGCCTTTCACCGTTTGATAAACTTTTATGTATTGCACTCCACTTAGAAAATATTCTCAACTACCCGATTTTAATTAACTGTTTTGATATTCTGCATACATTTTCATAAAATATATTTCTGAAAAGTATTTATTCACCGATTTATAAATAACTGTATACAAATATTTTAATTAAATTTCGGCGATTAACTAAATAACTAGCTTAAGTAGATTATAAAAAAACAGTAAAGGTGTATAATATTCGGATAATATTTAAAGGTAGTTTTAAGTATTTATAGTCCCGAAATAAAATACGCCAAATCAATTCATACCAAATCACAAAAATTGGTCATGCGACTACTTTTATAAATTTCAATGTTTTGTAAAATTGTTACCCGAAATAAAATAACTAAGAAATGTATATATTCAACTTAGTTTAACTTAAATGAAAATTAAATATTTTAGTTAAGGACTTAACATAAAATATTAAAACTCACGGTTTAATTAGGTAGTCTATAGTATACAATAAAATCTTATTTATTTTCTTGTCTAAATTAGTTCATTGCCTTTAACCTAACTTTCAATAATGATAAACCTTGATTTAAGCGGAAATATTCACAACAACTTAGCCTAGCGTACTCGAAATTCATACATAATCGTTAACACGTAATTTTGACTTAACTCCTAAAGGATCGGTCAAACAGAAAGCGGACTGTCCGCGCGGACAGGGTCTGTCCAACAAGTCCGCCAGTTCGCTGCGGACTGGGATAGTCAAACAGTATGCGGACAAGTTTGAGCGAACCAGTGTGAAAACTGCCACAACCAAGAGTGTACTGCTGGTTGTTTTTTTATTTTTTACTTTTTTATTTCACGTTTTCTGTTTTCATTTTCTTTTACAAAACGTCTAGATTCTCCTGCTTGCCTTGAGTTAAGTAAGACGAAAACAAAGAAAATGGGTACATGAACTAAATAAAAAGAATAGAATTGGGGTGTTTCACCGACTATGCTGTATTCTCAACGTTCAAACTAGAACTGAACTAAATTGAATTCAATAATTTAAGAGGTCTTATTTTTATGAATTGTTTTAAACCAGATATTAAACACTAAAATATTAGCCAGAAACTTGATGTTTTAATATACTAGCCACCTAAGATACGAGCTTGTTACTGCTTGTTAATATACTATATCATTATCTACCATTATCTATAATTCCACCACTACTTTAAATTTATTTGATACTTCAACGAGACATGAAAATGCTCTTTCGTGGTTGCAGACTCGGCTGAACAATTTTATTAAATTTTACATTTTTGTGAAGTGTTGATACCAGTCTTTTGTCGAATCTGTCCATTTTTCTGTTGTTTTATTATCTGGGTGCCACGTATCATACAAATAAACGCATTCTCGAACTAGATCAATCAATCGTTCCGTTTCATCGGTCATTTTCAGTGCACAATTTTAAAATTTAAAAATTAAGTACAATATGTTGTCATTAATATTGTTTGTATATTTTATGTTCAATAATTATGTAATAATAATAATATTTTAGAAGTGCTGATACGTGTGGAAAATCCAGTGTATTGTTTATATTAAATATATATATATTTTTTTTATTTTACAAAATTATTCCAGTCCGCCGCGAACTTTGTGAAAAAATACAACCATCCGTTTGTCTGCGGCGGACTAGTATAGTCCGCGGCGGTAGGTCGCTGTCTGTTTAACCAGAATGATGCATTTAAATACAGTACAGAGTCCGCGCGGACAGTCCGCTTTCTGTTTGACCGATCCTTTACCCAAATACTTCAGAAATGTCCTGTATAGTTGAATTTTAAAATTAATATTTAGCGAATAATTTGCTAATACTTAGCATTGCGTAAATGAATAAGTTATCAAATTCAATCATAAAAGGCGTAATGATTACCTTTGTGATTAGGTGGTCGTTTTACAAACCGGACACTGTTCTTCGATGACCAGAAGCTACCAGAGCATAGCATCAATGGGATCGGGTCAGGTGTTCGACGTTAGTAAGAATGACGTCTCCCAAGTATTAGAGTTCATCAAGACATCGATGGACACTAATAGAGTTAATTTACTGTCTATCAACGTACCCCACAGCGAGGTCTTTCCGTCCCCAAAAGCAATTAACGTCGACGATTCAATTAAACAGCTTTTAGTATCCGTTTCCGGACTGAAAACCATGGTGAACGTAGTAAACCCGACCGGTAAAAAAATGGACGAGTCCGATGGTCTGATGACCGACTTGGACTTGCAAAACGTTAAAATTATGACGATTTTGGTAAGCATGTAGTGAATAATAACGTTATCCAATTATAAGTGCTGGCCAAATTGACTTTTATAAAAAATACAAAAATAATTGTGTTTCAATTTAAATATTTTATTAATTGCAATATTTTGCTGTACAATATTTGAATTGTTAACGTAGTTTTATAGCATTTATAAGATCTATAAACATCAAATTAAACTATTGGTACTGCCGTTCATGCAAAAGACTTCAAGTCAATAATTGTAGTTTAAACTTAATGACTTTTATGTGTTGAGAATATTGTAAATACAATATTTAAAATTCTTTGTATATCATTGTTATAAATCTACTTGACATTATCAGGTGATGACAGACTGTAGTATTTTCTATTATTCTTTATCAATTGTGTAGGCGAGATAGATCAAAAATGGGGCTAATTATGTAAAGACGAAGTAACAAATGGGACTCTTCAAAAAAACATTAAAGAAGTCTCTAAATAGCATAATAGTATACTAAAAATCCCTTCCCTTTGCTAAATTTTTGAGGGGAAGAGGGTTAAACAAATCAATTTTTTTTCAAAATTAAGAACTTTTCCTACAATAGTTGTTCCTCGTATAATAATCTAAAGTTTGCTTCTTATAAATTTGTATGTAAGTGCAATGGTTAAGTCAGAAAAGCAGCCGTAAATTGTTTATTTTTGAAAATGTAATAGCACATAAGCTATAGATAATAAGCTTAAGCTTAGTTTGTTTACATTATGTTGTAGAGCGCTTCATACTATTTTTGAGTTATGGCGGCAGATAACGTGAGTGCTGACGATCGTCGCGCATGCGCACTGCGTCGTTCCTGGCCGTATTGCGCATGCGCGTCGGTCGTCAGCGCTCACGGTACCTACCGCCATAACTAAAAACAGTATAAAGCGCTCCATAACGGCAACAATTTACGCGCAGAAAAAATACATCCCAGTGGGCATCTATATTGTTTATTAATAATTATAATCAATGCTATTACTAATTCGTGACCAGTCAGATTATTCAAATACAACAAAACAGGATCAAGCTTAGGAAGTATAAACCAAGAAGTTAAAGGGACAGGACAGTATTTAATTATGTTTCGATGATCAAGCTAACCTTGATTCGAGCCTTCACCAAACCTTTGTATACAAATACTTGCTTGTATACAAGTATCGTTATGCCATATCCGACAGAATACGGTATCCGTTCCCCTTAAATGTGTTTTGCATGAACTGGGTTGGTGTACACTTTCCCTGTTGCCTAAAACCTCTATATCTTAATATTTATACCAACAAATGATAGTAACTATATTTTCTTGCTGGTAAAAACTAAAAGCTGTTTTAGTTATTACTGATTTATGTGTGTTGCTAAATTGTTGGGTTTAGGTGAAAAACTACTTTCAATTTTTTTTATTATTTTATGTTACCATTAGGATCCGATGCCCGGCGAATGGACTTTGTACGTGACCAGCGAGTCGGCTCATACTATTCGTGCTTGCGGTACTAGCACTAAAAGTTTTGATTATGGATTCGCTATTACTAAACCGGGCAGTATCAGCCAAACTAGTCATAGGCCGATGAAAGGTTTGTGACAATACTTATCGAAACAAAATCTCAGTTAAATTGTGTTTAATAAGGTATGTAATAATTTCAGGTACCAGCAATTATGTTTTGGTGAAATATCCGGATGTTAATGCATTTTTGTCGTGTGACATAAAGGAGTTACACAGCGATGGCAAAAATAATTCGCTGCCTATTTTTGAAATCAGTAAAAATGTAATGTTATGCGGTCCATTTGTGCCGAATAACAATCCTTTTTACGTACAGGTAAATTCTATGGTCATGGTTCGGGTAGAATAGGATTGCGTACGCTGCCCCTCGGCAATAAACTTATTAGCTTAGCTTATTTGCTAAATTACATAATATACTACACATAGACGAAACTAGAAACGATATAAAATGATTATCTGTAATAAAAGTTCAGTGCTGTAGATTCAGAAATGGTAATCTTATGTCACGTACAATGTATACGGCAGCCAATAAAAGCACATAGAGGGCTGATACTTACTATCTTATTATAACTTATATTATAGGCTAGATGGTCGTACGAAGTATTAGTTGTAATTTAATCTTATTGACCAAGATTTTGAAGTTCAAAACAGTTTCATAATTTCCACCTTTTATACCAAATGAATACAAATTAATTACCAATCGCACGTCGTGAATAGAAACAAAATTAAAGTACACAAATACACCTTAAAACCATCTGCGTTTAAACATTTTTAGGTGTTTGGTAAGAACAATAACGGTAATTATTTCAAAAGGATTACTAAAACCAGTATCACGCCCGACGATCCGGGTAATATAACCGTATAATAAATAATAATTTATTTATTTTAATAGTAAGTAATAATTCTGCGGTAGGATGTCGGTATCTGGTATGTCACTTTTTATTATTCTTGGGGCAAATTATCGTATGGCTAGGTGTTTTCATTAGCAAGTTATGATTGCTAATTCTATAGCTAAAAACTTTCATTGTATTTTCCTGAAAGTTTGAAAAATGGACATATCAGCTTCTATAATCCTACCGCAGAATTATTATTATAAGTTTATAGATGCTTCCAAATTCAAAAATTAAAACAAAGCATGCTGAAATATTCATTATGAAGTCCTTTTTGTATAAAATCTGAACCGAACTTCTATATCGGCCCTTTAATACAGTTTTAAAACAGCATGTAATGGAACGATTATAATTCATATCATAAGAATTTTTTATTCTTATAATAATTAATATCATAAGAAATTATAAAAATAATTGTGTTTATGTTATGTGTAACAATGTAATATGTTTGCATGTTATTTATTATATAATAATTGTGTATAACACTATGTCCATTAGACAAGCCTTATATATCGACGCCTAAAAGAGTTGTGGTAGAAAAAGGTGAAGAACTACACATAGTTTGCCACGTGGAGTCCTTGGTGCCGTTTTCTGTCACTTGGCGGGCGTTTAACTACCCCGCGCAGAATTGGAATTTTAAGTACAACGAACTTACATCCCAATAACCTTTTATCAATACAATAATATGTCGATTTCTTGGTTTCAGCCAAAGTGCGGAAATCGAACTAGTTATACGAAACGTGACATTAAGTCACATCGGCATGTACGAGTGTAGTGCAAAAAACATAGCAGGAAATTCAGAGAGTTTGACCAACGTCAACGTGATAGGTAAAACCAAACAACTAATTTTTTAATCTTTCGTCTTAATCAAAATCGACTCCGATTAATTGAAATCGTTTTATAAATTTAGCTAAACCTACTCTAGATAGAACAACTGAAAACGTTACAGTTATACTATTTGAAGGCGATAACTACTCTATCGCATGCGAGGGACACGGGTTACCAGAACCCAAAATTGCTTGGATTTCAAACGGGACACCAATTCCTCCATACAGCGGTACACCTAATCATAACTTTTGCATGACATTTCCGGTGCATTTTGCACAGTATCATTGCTCAATATCTATACTTACAATATCACTTCTAGAGTATGGTGATAGAAATACTGAAATTTTCAGATCATGTTTTCATAGTGAGTGGCACGACTAGATTAGTTATTTATGATGCCACGTTCGATGAATCCAACGTGTACATCTGTAGAGCATCCAACGACTTCGGCGTGTCTGAAAAACACTACCAAATCATTGTTCGAAGTGAGTTGGCTGTTCTTTTGCATTTTAAAAATAATATTTGTCTCAATGTATGGTTTATTCCGATATTTAAATTTTCAAAAGGGCTTTTAGGGGTAAAGAGTCCAAGACCCCTGAATGCAGGTCTTGAAGGCCAAGTCAGCAAGTTCTGCTATATTCCTGGAATCACATTGACTTCTAAAATGATTCCCGGAAGACAGCAGAACTTTCCATTACTTTCCAAACTTTACGATACTATTAGAAACTTTAATACGACATTAATTACTAAATTTAAGAGTACAAGGGTTTCGTAATATTTAATTTTTAATTAGTACAACTCTTAGTAAATAAAGTTTAACTACAAAGTTTAAAAAAATGTGTATGTTATAAATATTCAATAGATTGTTCATCAATCTTGTAGCACAATATTTTTGGTTTTTTTAAATAAATAGTTTAAAGTAAATTGATGTAGGCAATAAAAAGACATCAAAATAAAAACCCAACGATACGTTTATTACGGTCAGCTATTAAACTAGTATCAAGCCCAATGTCCTCTTTTTGAGAGTTAAAATTGTGACATTTTTCTTTTTTCTTTAGAACTATTTGTTATGAAGCACCTAAGAAAATAAATTAAATATATTCTATTTGCAATTTATGCATATTATTTTAGCTAAACCATCTCTGTCGACGGCGAATGAGACCCTGGAAATTGATGAATTCAGTGATGTATACTTACGCTGTCCTTTACCAAACAAACATAATCGGTGGTTCAAGGTAAGTCAATGGAGGTCACATATTATTATTGATATAAAGAAGGTATACAAATTACCTGTCAGATTCCGCAATTTAGAGGTAATACTTTCTTCGCGCCATTACTCCTTTTCAATTTGTTTCCTTTTTAGTATTACTTTAAGAACCAGTAAAGAAATAAAATATATTTTAATAAACCCTTAACCACAAAAATAATACTCTATAGCGTATGCATAACAGACTGTGACCTATTATAGGCAAATACGTACTTATATACCTACTATTATATGTAACCACAAGTTTTGCTTGAGTTTTTCTACTTTAATAATTGTTGGTCACATATTTTATGTACATTCGGAATAGAGTAAAGAATTATTACTTAATCGTTTACATTTGATAACAAACTTATCAGAAATAAAAATTAATTGTAAATTGTTTTAGGATAATGTGGACATCAGTTCTATAATCAATGAACGAGCGGACGAACCACATTACAAACAAACGGATCACGGGCTAAAGATATACGAACTAAACGCAGAAGACAGTGCTACGTATGCTTGTGTAACTCCGGAAAATAAAACTTACACACACGACTTAAATGTAGTGTTTAGCCCTCATTTCGTAGTTGAGAGCCCCGATCAAATTTTAGCCAAGATAAATGATACGATTTTGCTAGACTGCACAGTCAAAGGGTATCCTATTCCTAAAGTATGTCCTAATAGTATATTAAAATAATATTCTAGTATTTATTATTATTGTTAGTAATAGTATCATTTTTTATACTTACGGCAAATTATACTAATTACAATTGTACCTCAAAGTCAAACTTCCTGCTCGCTCTTTCATTTGGTATCTGTCTCAATGCATTTGGTTTTGTTCTTTACAATAATATGCTGACGTAGGTATTAAGAATCTGCCTCATTTTTTTACGTCGTGCTATTTCAATTAATAGTTTATTCTTTTTACATTTTTTGTTTTAATTCTCTTGGAATCTTGAACAACAATTGACAAACTGTTTTTTTATATTATCCTCAGACCTCAACTTTCATTTTATATTCTTCTTATTTTTGTCTGCTGAGTCGGAACAAAGTGGGCTGAAAGTTTAATACATTATAGTGTTTGCATTCATATACAACATAAATATAGAATATACTGTAGGTATACATCAGATCAATTAAAACAGATAATATATCATCTCAGCGACGGACTGACAACCCGTCGCGGATAGCGAATTCGTTAAGAAACCATCCAGCGTTAAGCCTTTATGGCCTGTTAAGCTACATGATGATGATGATGATAATATTATTATTAAATTTGTAGAAATATTAAATTCAATTGGTATTAAATACGTATACAATATACATGTTATATTTAATACTCCCTTTAACGTCGACATCAAAGGAATCATTATACTATAGATATATATGTACAAGTATTGAACACATACGAGAATAAGTGATCTAACTTATCTGACGTGAATTATATAGTGATGTTTTACATAAATGGAATTTCAATAGTATTAAATGTGATAGGGTAGTAAAACTAAAAGATTAAATGATCAAAGGTAGGTATTTAGTTTCCTTTTAACCTTATGAATCATTACCCCTCTGTTAGTGTGTTGGGGTGCAAATAAGTTTATTGAAAACCCCGTAACATAGGATTTCTAAATATTTCTAGACAACACATACTAACGGAAGGTTAACGTTTGTGAGACCTAATTAGACGTCATCAACGGTTCATATAAATGTAAAATTAAATTGTAATATTTAGTTTCTTTTAAGCGTTTACTGTTTAAGTTTCACTACACTATCAATTCAGTATTTCATTTATTGAAAAATAATTAATTTTAATAAACGTAAATTGGTTTAAATACTTAATATAAATTGTGCTGTATTTCTATATATGTGTATATATGACATACTAAAGTGGATTTTATCATTATTATTAATGATAATTGATAGGACAAGAAGTAAATATGCTCTAGAATTGCAAAATGGTAGATATTAAACAACAAACGATTTTTTAAACTTTATTGTAAAATATGTTTCCTGAAACAAAACGTGTTCATCGTTCTAAAAGGAAGATATATTTCTGACTTTTTTTATTACAATTTCAAAATCAGTTAAGCTATTAGAATATTATTTCAATCAATATTTGTTGTTGTTGGTTACGTTGAGATACCTGTTTAGATCCATATATTTTGTATCACACCTATTTTCATAGAAAAAATAAAGCAAAATAATTTAAATATAATTTCTAAAATAAAACAAAACATTTAATACAATTAATCAGTTTTTTCAATATTTTCCTCTCGTTTTTCTTGTAAAAAATAAATTATACCAAATACTGTATGCCTAAAAGATTTCAAAACAAGTTCGGTACATCATAGTGTACTTTGGCAATGGCCAAATAGCAAAAGTTAATTTGCTGTAGTATGTGGATATATTATATTAGATATAATTTTTATTTGTCTAACTTGCAGCTTACAGATCTAAATCTGTGTCTATAAAACTGCATATTCTCAACGTGTATAATTTATAGTGTATAATTAAAAACATGTACATTTAATGACTTTTAATAAATGTTTTATTCTCAACACAATCCTGTATTCCAAACAAATTCTAACTATAATTTAATTGTTGCATTTTGGGTTTCAGGTACTGTGGACGAAAAACGATATGCTTTACCCTGTTACCGAATGGACACTAAAAAATTCGAATTTTTTGAATGGAAATCAACAAATTGTAATTAAATCAGTGGACTTGACGCATGGAGGTACTTACAACTGCAACGCAAAGCACAAATTTGGAATCGAACGACGTACATTGTCCATGACAGTACTGTAGGAAAAACTTAATTTATGGAGTATATTAACTATGTATAAATTATTAAAAATTGTGTATGTTAACACACAAGCCAGCACAGTCGTTTGAAAATGGTTACTATTTGAACTAACTTGTTATTCGAATGTAGATTATATTTTTTATAAGTATAATGAATATATTTGTTTGTTTTATTGTTTTTCTGCAGCAGTGTGCTAAGCTAGAGCCTAGAAGCACGGCTAACATCATTGTAAATTACTATACTTATGTAATCTTTTATCAAAGTTGTATATTATAAAATATTTGTAAGTCCTTATCTTATCAAAAAATATATTATCTTCACGATGTTGAATGGTTAATCGATAATTTGTTTTAATTAAAATAGTAATAACATCATTATAAACCACTGTAAACTGTAAAATGAAATGCTTAACTACAAAAGATAAATCAGTAAAACATTTGGAAAATAGAATTCCGATAAATCCTATTTTACCTTTTAAAAAATACACACACGAAAGTTTGAAAAAAAAAAACTTAGCACTCGCCTTTAAAGCGATTGAAAAAATTCGGTGATCGTGAAAGATCGAGTCACTAATTGGGCGCTAATTTTGTCGTATACGCACTTTTATACACGAAATGTTATAAATAAACACACACTGTAAATAAAATTACTTAATACCTTTAAGAGGACACTACCCAGGCAATTTCTAAGGAGTAAAATATAGGCAATTATTTGAAAAATCTTAAATTAGAGTTTTAACCCCTTAACTGCGTGAATTTTTTTTAACCATATGCTATAAATGTACTTAATACTACTTAAAAAAATAAAAATAATTTTTTTTTTTGAGTTTTGGTTTCATGGAAAACGCTAATTAAAGAATTTTTCCAAATATGGAACATTGCGCATACAAAGATGTATAACATGAGCAAATATAAACAATAAATACAATCTTTCCATATATGGAACATTGTGCAGTGAAGGGTTAACTATAATGTATACCTATTAGTACAGTAATGAGGATACTTCGTTGATTGTCATTTTTTTTTGTCAGACTATTACAGTCATTTCTATCGGATAAATTACAATTGTTTTCCCATCAAAACTGCTTTGTTCGGGACAAGTATGTACGGTCAGCATTAACAGTAAATTTACCAAATTTTCACAATGCATAGAGAAGAACATCCGTGGGGTAGCGTTTTAATTTTTTTGATACCTATGCTTAATGTTTTTTATAAACAAACAAGCTATCCACCCGGCGTTGCCCGAGATTTAGTCTCCCAAGTGCCAGGGCTGAGTAAAATAATTCCCATTCCCCCATTCCATCCCCATCCCCCATCTCTAATCTCTTATCTCTTATCAGATAACAGCGTGACAGCGTTTATGTGATACTTTTAATGTCCTCTTACTCAAGGGTCCCGGTCCCGGATCCCGTTCCAACAGTTAAAAACTTGCCCAGAATCGTGGTACATAGAATCGGCTTGTTCCTTTAATCATCACCTACTATTTGCTCGAGTACCGTGGTAACCATGGTTACAAACCAAGTGTTAATTTTGAGTTACCATGGTTACAAACATTTAATTTATTTAAATTTTGTATTTAAAGTACAAAGTTCATGTTTGAGGCTTCCCTTAAGAGCAGGCCCCCCACATGAATTTTTCAAGTACGGTACTGTAAATGAATCCGGGCCCTTATTATATATTAGTATTTATAATAATTTAAATATAATTTCTCACAATTTATTTTTATTTTTCATACGGTACCTAAAATATTTGTTACACAGCTTATATTGCTTTTATACACCTGTAGACAGTACCACAATTACCGCCACAACTCGGGAGCTTGACGGTTGTGGTAAAAACTAATATGCATGCTATGATCGCGGGTTGTTTTGACTTTGGTCGTCGATAAAAGAATTATTATCTTCTAATGCTAAAAATAGCACTACTAGGGCAGGCGGCTGACTTATTTCTTTTATCGTCCCGGATTTTTTCCCCTTTTATTTTTTCCAAGAAATGCTTGCGCTGCACGCCCTACCCACCTACCGTCCTACCGACGCCAAGTGGCCGATCTCATCAAATAAAAATAATATACATTTCGATTGTTAAACAAAATTATGTATTATAAAAAGTATTATGTATTATAGTAAATAATAATTATATACCAATAAATCGTAAATATAATTCTTAAAGTTAGTAATAAATCGTTCGGAAATGTTATTTATTATATTCTTGAGTGAAGCCGTCGCGTGGTTTATTTGTGAGTCTTGGAGGCGGCGCGGCGTTAGACGGAAACGGTGGGCCCTTGTACTGTATTGTCGACTCGATGATCTGGCTGGACGCCCTGATACCGGTCATTCTTGATCCGTGCACAGTGCCGTAGTGCTCGACGCTGGTGTGCTCGCCGGCGAATATGATAACGGGCGGCATGTCGCAGTCGGTCGACAGCGGCGTGGCCAGATCGATGATGTGGCCAATGCCCGATGTCGCATTCATGAACGTTCTGAAACCGCGAAAATCGGGGTTCGTCGACCACTTGGTGGCGTACACTTGCGATGGCGGCGATAGGTGCGGGTCACCGCGAAATCGCCGCAGTAATTCGTGCACTTCGGAGCTCAGCATCGCCTCGTTCATGGTCTCGACGGCCAGCGATTCGCGGTCGGTCACCGTCATGGTCAGTACCTTACTACTGCCCGGCGCCTCATGCACGCCACTTACGCACCTGCTCCAGTGGTTTCGATCGTTACTGCTGCCGTACAGGTCCATCTTGGACCACGCAAAGTTCATGTGTCCGGTGCCGGGTAACCAGAACGGACGTTCGTACCGCGCGAACACTTTACACACGTTCGCGAATCCCAGGTTCTGAATGGCCTCCCACTGTTTGGCTGGCAGCGCGGGACAGAACAAGGACTGTGAGTGCTTGAGCACGCCCAACGGGACCGTGCACACCACGTAGTCAGCCGGATACTCGACGCCTTCTTCCGTGACCACTATCGACCGCGGGCTGGTGTTATTGGGCGCGCCCCAACGGATGGTGGCGACGCGCTGGTGCGTCTTCAGGCAGTTGACGGGTATATTCCGAATAAGCGGCGCCATAGTGCCGATCAGTCCGGAGGCGACAGAGACCTCGCCGCCCGGCAGCTTGACCGCAGGGCCGTACAGTTCGTACGCAACGTTACGCAGGCTAGCGCCAATTTTTGTTCGCAGTTCATTGGTCATGGCGTACATGACGCGGCCCATGTCGTCGAGTTCGCCGCGGTCACCGAGGTAGCCCTTCAGCTCGGATTCGATGCGTTCGTCGAACCACTCCCACAGACTTTCCGTTCTCTGCACGTTCAGCATCTCGTCGTACGCCAAAACCGCCGCTCTCTCGATCTCCCTGAATCGGCTCACCGCTTTCGCCACTACCTTGTCCTTAATCTGCCGGTGTTCTTCCGGAACGTACCATCCACCCGCCGTCCGGTCGATCCTGGGCAACGGTGGACTCATCAACCGCTCATGGCTAGCCAACCGAAACACCGAGTCCGACGGACACCCGTACAACGAATCCACTCCCAGTTCCGTCATCACGTCTCCGTACCACGTCGAATGTATGCGACCGCCCACCCTGTAGCATCAAGTAATTTATTATATCTTACTATGTGTGTTGGAAAGATAATGAAACTGACTCGTTGGTGGCTTCGAGCACAACAAAATTATGAATGCCAGACATGGACAGGTGCTGGGCAGCCGATAGACCTGCCATGCCCGCTCCAACGATGACCACTCTGGGCTGTTTCCAAGACGGATCCAACTTGCAATAATTCATCGGCAAGCATGTCGAATTGACATCACAGTCCATTTCTTCACTGGGCTTGGCCTTGCCACGCCATAGAGATAACCAGCGTCCAATGTTGCATCTAACGTTGCGTCCAGCGAACCTTCTCATGGTGTTAAGTATCAACGCCATGTCACAGTAATACAAACCAAATTGGGTAAACCTAGCTAATACAGATAAACCCACACATAATGAAAACAAATAGACAATGTGAAAAATAGAAATGTGTCAAAACGCATTTTGCCAGTGTAATGGTTTCCAAACAGCCAACATCTTATTTACTATTCGAAAAATAAATATTTTAGAAACTAACTATATTTACTTATAATATTTTTTACTTTACATATTACTATAGTATTATTTATTTATTTATTTATTAGTATTATATTGTTTACCGGATTTTTTTTTTTTCAATTGTAAAGGTTAGTAATAAATCGTTCGGAAATGATATTTATTTCATATATTCTTGTCTGGAACGTTCTAATCTTTCACGTTCATGTTCGGTAATTCTATAATATCTCGTGATGATCAATAACCATAATTTTATTTAAGTACGCAATGCGGTGTTTTTTGACAGCTCGAAACACACGCGGATATTACAAATCCTCATCTACACGTACACTGTGCATAAGACTAGGGTACAATCTGATGGTTTTATTTACATCATTATTAGGTAGGTTATATTTCTTGTTGTGTCCGTTGGGGAGGGGAGGAGGGGGGGATCAGGAGAAGGAGAGATAAATAATATACACCGTATACAAACAGACGTGGGTAGTAGGATGAAAAGGACAATTAGTAACCAAAATAATTATATCCTTGAACCAATATAATAAATCATGTCAATATAATATTATACATATTTACTAAGCAAAATAACTAGAGGAGCAGCTATTCCGGTTAAGTGTAACTCTATCTTATAACTATAGTATGTAGTACGTGTTTTTATTTCATTCTCTATGCATGTCAACTTGTAACATTAGCATCTTCCAGAATGCCTTTGAATCACGTATAATATATATAACTAATTACCGTGAATTAAAAGTACGGGTCTTATATTATTTTTAATATAAGGCACTCCCTTGCTTTAAAGATAAAAAATGTGTTTATCACATTAAATTACCTATTAAAGACAGAATGATGTAATGAAAGTAATGACTGGTCAATAATCAATTTTGAGTAAATACTTTCGAGTTATTAGAATTTAAAGTTTGAGTGTGGAAGGGAGTGCCGGTTCAGCCATTACTTTTTTGGAACATTCTGTCTTATATAAATAAATCTACCAATATATAAAAGCTATTTTCTTTTTAAAAGTCCTTTAATCCCTTAATATTATCTTTTAAAATATTTCTTTCAACATATCCTTTTATATATTATTTTTAGAACTCAAAACCATGGTTTAAAAAACGTAAAAACAAAAAGTTTTTACTATTTACAGGGGAAAAGTTTAGGAAATTTTCTTAGTTTTTGACTAAAAAATGGAAGTGAATACCCTAGTAAATAGGGTAATTATTAGGGAATAGGTATTATATTGTTAAATACATTGATTGAATTCACCAATTCAAATACATTTTTTTTTTATGAGTTACAATAACAAAATGCTAAAAAGCTTTCAGAGAAATGTAAAAGTTATATTAATTAATTTTATTCGATACATTCAAGGTGATCAATTTACCGTATGACACTTTTCTCTTAAGGGAAACGGAAAGTGTCACTTTCCGAAGTGTCTACCGAACCGATTTAAAAATTTATTTTTGTTATAAAGGTTAACGTCTTTTCTATGGGGGCTAAAAAGCTGATTTTTTTATTTATATTACCAAAAAAAAATGTACAAGCATTTAGATTTATAGTTTTTTATAATAAATCTAACTAATTTTCTAATTGCTAAATCAAATATCGGCCTCTTGGCCCCATAGGAAAAATAGTAAGCTTCACATAAAAAAAATTGCAATCCGTCCAATAGATACGCTAGAAAATGACTTCTACGAAAGTTGTTTTTTATCAAACTTTAGCCATAACTCAGAGAAAAATAACTTTAAAAGTATTTATTTATTTAAGTTTTTTTGATGAAGAATTAAAAAACAATGATATAATGTTTTTATTTACAAATAGACTAAATAAAGACGTACTCAAAAATCTTTTTTAAATTTTCCGGCAAAAAGGGGGTTATAACAAAAATCCTACGGCGAGGACAATCAGAACTTCATTTCGAAGTTCTTGTGTTTTTTAATTAATAACATCAACATGTACTAACTGTGATAGTAGTAAGGATTTAGATGAACCATTCTTAGTACAAGATATGATTAAAACTAACAAAACAGTAATCGAAAGATCAGAAATGTCTTCAGACATTTTTCTACATTAGTAACAGATGAATCTAACTCGGTAGAAATAAACAAGTTTAATGGTATAAGAAGGGAATTTCGGCGTAATCGATATAAGCCCGTTTGTTTTTATAACTTTGTATAAAACTGGTTTTTTAAGAAAATAGAACAATAACTGTGAATAGACTGCGAGTAATTATTTATTTTAAAACATTATAGCTAAAAATAAAAATTGTGTTCGGTCGTAGACAGTCGATGTTTCACTCATTAGCATATTTTTAAAACCTTCATGGTAAGTAGCTATGATGGTTACAAACAAAGATTAATTTTAAGTTTGTTAATTTTTATAATTATTTTATTACCCATGTATTAATTATTTTAAACCGCTTTTAATTAAAACTACTTTAGATATTTAGAATCATATATATATATATATATATATATATATATATATATGTCATATATCATATATGTTGTAAATTATTAGATACTTGTATATATTGGATATGTTTGCATATTTACATTTAAGGCACACCCTATATTTTTTTTATTTACTTATTTGTCTAGGTAGGTACTATAAATTCTAGTATTGTCTAAAGTTAATTTAATTATAATATTTCTAAAATATCTAAATAGTGTCATCAAATCTTATCGTAATTAACACTTTATTACACAATACCTGTTGAAACGTTAACGAAAAAGCTTTGTAGTTGTTAATGTCGGGTAGTTACATTTAAGAGGGCGTCGCATCGCCCATTTTTAAGGAGTATAGTATAGGCAATTTTTTACAAAATCTTAATTTTAAGGTTAAACTGTTATGTGTAATTATTATTTCAATAACTAGGACTCTATTATGGTAGTTAATTTATTTTTTGGACTATCACAGCATCCTTGAAAGCGATTTAAAAATGTTTTTTATCTCTATATGTTTAAGCAGACTGAAAATAACTCGCTTAATTTTGGTTTTAGAGTAAAAGCGCCCATTATAAAATTAAAAGAGAACAATATTCCAGAGGGCAAGACGGTGCGTTTTTTCATTATTCCAAGTATAACGCTCAAAACATAGTTTAGAAATAACGACTATTTTAACATAACTGTAACTTTTCAAAAAATAATTTTTTTTTAAAAAAACGCACCGTCTTGCCCTCCGGAATATTGTTTTCTTTTAATTTTATAATGTGTGTTTTTACTCTAAAACTAAAATTACGTGAGTTATTTTCAGTTGGCGAAAACATGTTTTTACCACTGAAAATCGCCGGTGTGACGCCCTCTTAAGTGTTTGTTTTTATTATACAAACAATTTGAAGTATTGCATCAATAAAAAATAAGAACGATAAGAGTATAATAACCGATTTTCTTTATACTCAATAAGGCGTGAACTGGGAAACATTATTAGTGTCGATGTACAATAATTTTGTTGTGATAACATCAGATGACTGCATACCTAATGTACATATATTTAAAAAAACAATAAGGTCAGACATACATTTTTTAAAAATATGTTAATGGATTTGACCGATTCGTAGTATATAAATCCATTAAACAATAATTGTTGTACACAAACGAGCAGTTAATACTATAATCATTTATTTATCTTAATAATAGTGATTTATTTTATTCCTAACTATGGTCTTAGAATATTTTCTTTAGTGTCAAGTGTTGCAAATTTGTAAAAAGTGTTTTGAACGGTTCTATTGTATTCGTTTTATATTAATTATATCACCGAAAAAAACTCTTTGGACATTTGCAACGCTTGTGGTTTTTTGACTCCATTTATAAAAGTTATGTTTATCCCACTAAATCAAAACAATAGTTAGGGGTGGAAATAATATTGTAAAATCAGGTTAGTTGAGTATAGTTTTATCAATAAGATATAACTGATAACTTTAAATTATATTGATACAGCGAGAAGCTAAAAGAAAAGAAATGAGTAAAAAAAATAATTTGGAAATTTCCATTACAAAGAACTGTCAACCCATCTTAAAATATTAGATATAATTATAATAAACGATGTACCTACTTACAGGAGCATATATTACAGGTAGCTACTTACTTAACTGCTCATCTACAGCTATAACAAATGTAGACATAATAAATAACACCAGTTTTTACTTACAAGTTACAGATTATAGATAAAGCTTTCAAACATGCGTCCCTTATATGAGTTATTTTCAAGACTTTCATTTTGTGATATTTAAAATTAAAGTAATAAAAATGAGTATCTATCGGACTTAGGGGTTGATTTTTTTTGGGGGGGGGGGCTTTATTTAGACACTAATGTAGCCTACAATATCTTTATGTTTCGTAAATTTTCCACTTTACGTGTGTGTGGGCGTATATATGCAATACTTAGTTAATTTTTTTCATTGATGCAATATGTATGATATTACAATCCAAGTTGATTATCAACTGATAACGAAATTATTACTATATAGTACATTTAATTTATATTTTACACTTGCTGACTACTTTTATTATAGTTGAGTATGTTTATATACCAAAAAAAAATATTGCAACTACCCCACCCCAGGCAAACAACCAAAGCCGACACTGTAGTAGTGTTAATAATTTTTTTTTTTAACTATAAATCGAATTTTTAAAATTACATTGAGTTGTTTTTTATCAAACTTCCACCAAAACTGAGAAAAATAGGTAACTTAAAAAGTTATATAACTAGAAAAAAATAATATTTGTACTCCTTAAAATTAGTTGGAATGTTTAATTTTTTTTTAAAAGGCTACTAGACCAATTTTTATCAAATATTTGTCTTTTATTTAATAGCCCGTTCCGTTCCCCTTAAGGTCAATGGAAAAGTGAGGCGTGTACTTATATGATATTTTTTTCCACCCACAATTATCGTCCCTTTTTTTCTTTTCTTGATAATATTAATTTATAGTTCTCTATTATAAAAAAAAACATATTTTATATTGTTCTTAGTGGTAATTGTCAGCTAAGCAAAGATTTAAATAACGAAAAATAAGATATTTGATTTAAATATCACACAAAGATGTCTTTGAAATAATATCTATCTTAATAATTATTTTGTATTTGTTTATACTTAGCTGAGGAAAAGTAGTCTACAATGACAATAACAACACCTTCACCCCTCCCTCCCAATAGGTCTTGCCACCAGACCTATTGGTCAGCCGCCAGAATTATAAAACATTAGAAGTGGTCTTGACTCTTGTGTAAAATGACACGTAAACCACAATCAAACGTTATTCAACTAATTAAAAAAAACTAAAGTATTAAAATATATATAAAAAGGCACATTTGAAAAAAAATAATGGTTTTTATACTTTTTTAGGTAATAGAAAATTAAATAAGAATTTTACTGAAATAAAAACGACAATTGGGTTTGGGGGGCTAATGCCCCTTTAGAGCCCACCCTTAAGTCCGCCTATGACTACGAGCGTTATATAGATTACTCTATTTTACTTCACATTTCAGTTCAGCTTATAATAGTTATTTAAGTGTATTGTGCTTAATTTAGTACTTGTAATCATTGATTAGTTAAAGATTTTACTCTGAAACGCTTATAATAAAAATGTATTTAAAGTAAAACCTTACATTACTACCGGTACACAACGTGGTACGGTAACTCCTTGCGGCTATTGCCCTCACTTCCAAAACTATCAAAACAATTCAAATTTATGTTTTGATAAAACTATGTACATTTGTTCTCGTATAAATAAAATCATTCTATAGCTTTTCGAGGTTATATAGTAGATAATTGTTTGTTTTGTATATTATAATAATTGTTAAGACATTTGTACAATACAAAGATTGAGGTATCCTTTTATAAACAAAAGAACAGACCAGTGTATTTTCTAGTTTTTTTGCAATGTATTTGAACAGTTTTACGATTTTTTTTTCACAAAGTGTTTGCAATTAACCCTCCTCCCTCCCCCGGATAATTTTTTTAATTAATATTTAACACGCGTGCTACCTTTTTTTAAAAGAGCAAAGCCGATGTATTCAGCTATATTCGACGTTTCGATTTCGGTATACTATAATGTTTACTGTGTAGTATACACGCATAATATTTTGTCTGTTCGTATTGACATTACACACGCCGTCAGTACATGTTAGTATATTATGTATTGTACACATGCTATTAAATAGACAATAAAAATATTGTGACAGTGGCTTAATGCAGAATGAAATGAACGCATGACTGATAAACGAATAATTGTAAGTATTGAACTATAAGTTTAGTACTCTGTTTATAGCTTTTTTAAATTTATTATTTAATTTCTAATTATTTTTTTAAATTATTACGGAACACCGTGTAGTATAAATTGTGAGGCTTAACGTCGTATGGCTATAATCCTCGCACTCGGCACTCTATATTAAAATAATTTATCAAGTAGTATGTGAATACTTTAAGGAATAAATTATAAAATGTTGAGTTATTGCTCGCAATTTACAAAATATAACTACATATCGTCGTTGCCGCAAAAAAACTTCCTATGTTCAAATTTTACGATAACAGAAAAAATAAGATATCATATGATATAAAATCCAATGTGCTATAATCCATTGTAGAATAAATAAAAAATAAAACCACCTACGTATTACCTTCTATAAATCGTATTACAAGTATTAATGTCTCCTGAACAATTAGGTTTTAGCACAAAGAAGGTTTTTTTTTGGCAGCAACGACGATATAATATTATTTTTTGTCTAACTAGTAATAAAACACTTAGGGGGGGGGGCGGAATGTACTGTATAGGTTAAATATTGAGATTTGAGTATTTAGTGAGTAGTGTATTATGTAGAGGTATATGTATTATATAGGTATAGGTATATTAAAAAAGAAAGAACACAATTACTTACTACCAGCTGTGGAACTGAGGTTTTTAATTTTTTTGTTATAGATTTTGTTTAAAAATATTATAGCTCAACAATTACAAATAAATAAAACGAGTTAATATTTAAAAAAATGTTGACACTTGACATATTATACTTATGTAGTGTAGTTTTTTCGTAGTCATAATAAAAAAATTGGTTATCTCATTTTGTTTTTTTTTTCCTAAATGAAGTCATTTTTTAAATGTGTAGGTACGTAATTTTTATTGTCTAATTTTATCTTATTATAACATTGGCAGAACTTATATAATGCATAATTTTGATTACAATATTATCCCATAGGTTAAAGTAGTTTTTTTTTTAATAACGACTTAAATATATTATTGTACCTATATATTATAAATAACCAGTAGGTACCTATCCAAAGTAATTAGGATTATTTATATTATAACTAGATTTTCGCCACTTTTATTAAAACATAACTACGCAGATTGCGTAAGTAGGTATAAGTATTTACTCAGCTTATGATGATTTTAGCCCAGAAAACCCCAATTAAAAAAAAGTAAGGTACAACCCATTTTAGAGGGAATTTTAAGTAAACAGAGTTATGGAAAAATCCCTCATAATACAAAATATTAAAATAAAACAAGATTTTATGAAAATGATTCAAAACAGTTAAACGTACCTATACCTATTTTGCGTTTATTAAGTAAAATTGAATGATATTTTGTAAAAATTACATACAAGTGATATTACAGAGTATTGTGTTATTAAAATCTCTTGAATGGTGTGCTTATTTTTAAATGGCTAGCAAAAAAAAATTGTAATGCTAATAATAGTGATTGAAGAACAGGTGCTCTTTGCAAAATGCCGTCTAATAATCATCAGATTTTTATTATATTCAATATTCGAACGACAGTAATTAACATTTTTTACTTTTTTAAAACGGCAATAACTTTTTTTAATATCGTTGGAAATTTTTAACCTAAAAAGCATAGACCTCTAAAGATCATTATATATATTTTTTTATAGGTCTATGTTAAAAAGTCATTCTCCCCAATCGAAATCCTTTTCTGTTCCGTAGAGTGTCGACCACCTATTGACCTATTTGTTACCCATCATTAATATGCGTTATCGGTTATTACTATGAGAAACGTCCTATGAGAACCACTGTTTGATCATAAAAGTCTGCTTATCAGTGAAATGTGAATACAGAACATTGACCGGCGGGCTGCGGGGGAGATAGCGTTATCACTAATTTTTACCGCATACTTCATAGAGCGATAGCTGCTGTTGTACACTACATCTTAGTCAGTAGTGTTTACAGGTCTTTGTGTTTAATTAATAACTATACGGCACGAAAAACCTTGAGGTAATTATAATGGTGTTCAATGGTCAATGTATGTAGTTTTTGACTAAATAATGCAAATCATTTTATAGTAATTGTATTACAACGAAAAACTGGCAATCAATAAGAATTAATCATATATTATTATTAATTTAATTGTCGAAAGCACTCTGGTCACCTATGTTTTGGCTGTTGTTTGATTCTACTTGTCATCATTCAACTGGCTCAGTTAATTATATTACCTGTTATCATTAATTGTATAATGTAAGTCCACATTGAAATTTTCTTCTTGTGTTGATGTTTGTATTAGGCATGTATGTTGGTTGTAAAGTGTTTAGTCATTTTACGCAATTATAATTACTTGCTTTGCGCCGAACTACCTAATTGTGTCGAAATTAGGTATTATGAGAAAATGTATTTGTTCTACAATTATAATATTTAAATAGTTCTGATTGCTAACAGTTTTTATGTTAATTCTATTTTAATATTCAGTAATTCTAATAACTTCATTTACCAACGCAAGGCTATATTTATTAATACATATGCTTTCCTTTTTTCTATACAGTTGTCTTTTTTTATACTAAAATTTAACTATTTAAGTACTACTTTTAATAAAATAGTAGTTCAATGTTAAAGTTAGCACATTTTAATAGACTATTTTATACCGTTGGAACATTAATTTAGTAACTCAAAACTCGTATTTTGAGTTAAACAAATCAAACGGTTTAATTCTCAGTATAACTATTACTTTTATTATACAATAACTATATTATATATCTTTATTCTTTAACTGGGATAGAACATGATTTTAACATAACAAATCATGTGACAAATCAAAATTGACAATTTTTGAGTTACTCCAATAATGTTCTGACATTACAGCTTTTTTTTTAAATTAATAGGTAGCTGTTTTTCTTAAAAACTTAAAGCTATAAGAAATAAAAAAATGTATTTATCATTCAAGATATTTCATGTAGTATTTAGGATATGTAATTCCTATTTTTTACCATAAATTGTTAGTAGGTTCTATACTTGAAATGTTTAACATATTTTGTGTTGATAGTATATGTATAATATTAATTTGTAACATTATATAATTTAAATACTTTATTTTATTATATAAAATAAAGATTATATTTATACTTTGCGGTTGTGATTTTAGGTTTGTATTCTGCAAAAAGATTCAACCACAGAATTACAAATTTTTAGTTTCATTCTTTACCAAACAGATCTCTACAACTATGAGTTTTGATCAAAAGCAATTGGATAAATTTAAGTTACCTGATCGGTACAAGTCAGGAGAATATAATGTCTGGTACGTTCACTTTAAAAAATAATTTTTTTTTATAACTTTTGGTTAACAATAGTGGGTTTTATAAAGTTATTTCTTACAAAACAATTTTAAATATTTTAGTTTTTAAATTCTTTTAAAGACTTGACTGTTGGCCTAATTATGTAAATTTTAGTTACTATTTCTAAACTATATACTTGTTACAAAAAGTATTAGGGGTTGGCAGTCTAAGGAGGTCATAGGTCAGGAATTATTATAACTAATTCTAAAGCTAAAATAAACGCTTTGATTCAAAACTGTAGATTTTGAAAACAATTAATAAATATATTTACAAAGTATATTATAAGTGTTTAAAATAGTGTTTTGTTTTTTGATGTTTCTCTCAATAAAAAGTGTGTTGACAGCATATTGAATGTTTTGTATACTTTAAAGATAGCTTGTGATCTACTATCAGTTTTAATTACAGTCCCTAGTCCTAAAATGTTTTTAAAGACAATTATTTTTTTCAAAACTTTTAAGTTGTGAATTATCTACTAAACACTTTGACTAATAAAAAAAAACCTACAAATCTTTTTTTAATTTTTTAGGCTACAAAGTACCCTTTGGGTACAATTTCTGATCTATAAACTTCCTAGATGAAGAGATCGATTCTTTAGTTTAAAAGATATTGTGGGCCAATCACTACAAAAATAAAAATATTTTATTGTAGAAAAATTACCTTTTTCTTTCCGCATCAAATAAAAAATGTATACACTTGTGTATTTTTGTGTAATTCAAATTTATTCATTGCTTAAGGAAAAGTTTTAATTGTAAATATTTAAATTACAGGATTGAATTTATTGGATTGGCTATGGAACATAAGCCTGTTAATTTAGGTCAGGGTTTTCCAGATTATAATCCACCATCTCGATTCTCACAATATTTGTCAGAAGTGGCAAAGGAAGGTGGTTTGTTTAACCAGTATACACGAGGATTTGTAATAACTATTAAACAATTTTAATTCAATATTTAAGTACATATGTATTTTTCAAAATGTTTTAGGGTCATGTACGTTTAGTAAATGCTTTATCAAAGTTATACTCCAAATTAATTGGGCGAACAATTAATCCATTAACTGAAATAATGGTGACTGTTGGAGCTTATGAAGCTCTATTCTGTGCTATACAAGGTCACATACAACCTGGAGACGAGGCTATTATTATTGAGCCATTTTTTGATTGTTATGAACCAATGGTGTGCAGTGTTGGTGGAGTTCCCAGGTTTATATCATTAAAAAATGTTAGTTTATGAAATAATTTATAAAAATTTAGTTTTTAAATAGTATCAATTTTTATAGACTAACTCAAATGCATCAGTTTCCCGTGCAAGTGATTGGAAACTTGATCCAATAGAGTTAGAATCACTTTTCAATTCAAAAACAAAATTTATTATCATAAATACACCTCACAATCCACTTGGAAAAGTATTCGATTTAGAAGAACTGACAATGATTGCTAATCTTTGTAAAAAACACAATGTTCTTTGCATATCTGATGAAGTGTACGAATGGCTGGTTTATGAACCCACCAAACATATAAGAATAGGTAATTTGAATCATACACTAAGCAAATGTTATTGTAAGATGTTCATCTCAATTGTCAATAATATGACTTAAGTAAAGGTCAGAAATTTTATTAAAATATGCATATTAAAGTGTAAGTACAAAAAATGCTATTCAATAATTCTCTTAATTAATTTTTTTTATTTTATCATTTTTATAAATTGGTTGAAGTTTGTCTAAGGTTTGTTTAAAATGTTTACATGGTTTAAAATTAAACCTATATTTACTAATTTGCTTTGATAACTTCAGGACTATATTGAATGCTGGTTACAATGTTGTTCACTTCGCTGCTGTTTGTAGACTCAAGAAAGTTTTTTTGAACAAATTTAAGAGAATATTTTTTGGTGTTTATAAGTCACAAGCCCTAATTATAAATCATAAATCTTTCTCATTATCAGCAAACACTTAAATATTTAAACATGAATTGCCTAAAAACAATTTTAATTACGTTATTTTTCTTACAATTATTTCACTTTCTTTTCTTCTTTTAATATGCTTGCTCTCAGTTATCTCTTATTTCTTTTATTTTGGACCCTACTTCCAAAATTATTTTTATTTGTAGATACCATGCATAAGCCATTATGCCTGAGTGGTAAAAGTGTATACTTTTAACAGAAACATTGCATACATACAATACAAAGTGTGGCAATTAAATTACAATAATTTTTTATTTTGATATTTATCATTTACATGGACTTAGTACCTATACCCTTACAATACTTTCCCCCGAGTCTGATGCACTTGTTTCAACGCTCTTCTAATTTCTGTAAACACCCTGTGAAGACCTCCGGAGTTAGGCCCTTCATAGCCAGTGTCACAGCGCTTTGGAGGACCTCCAAATCCTTTTAGCAGTGACCTTTCATTGGTTATTTGAGCTTAGCTTGGGGGATAGCAGGTGTTTTGATACTTATTATAATTTTCTTATTTAAAAGCTGAATAGATTATACAATTAAATATGCTCTAACAGAACAAACTTATGGTTAGTAACATTTAAATATTATATTTTTACTACAGGTGCAATAATCAGTCTTCAAATTAAATTTTAAGTGATATTGAATATTTTATAATAATATATGGCTTAAACACTGATTACCCATGAGTTTTTTTAATTTAGAGTAGTACGGGGAACTGTGGTAGTTTTTATCAAAACCTAGTCTGTCTACTCAATTGATGAGTTTTTTTCATTATATATTTCTTCCTAATTTATAATAGGTTTTCATAACTTGTTTGTCTGGATTTCTGTTTTCTTATTTAATCATTATGTTTGTTATACACATTTTTCTTAACATCAGAGTACAATATTATTCATCTAATTATTGTTTTCTAGCATCTCTTCCTGGTATGTGGGAAAGAACCATAACAATTGGATCAGCAGGAAAAACATTTAGCATGACCGGTTGGAAACTTGGTTGGGCGTATGGTCCAGATTATCTCATGAAGAATTTGCAAGTTGTTCATCAGATTGCAATTTACACGTGTCCTACAACAGTGCAAGTGTGTTCTAGTTTATAGTTTTGTAACTGAGTTAACTAAATTTACAATCCTAGGGCCGTGGCTGTCACAAGTCTGTAAGAATTATTACAAGTGAACAAAATTTCTTTTAAGAAAACACTTCAATGATAACGTATAGATTATAAATGTTAAGAGGGCGTCGCACTGGTGATTTTCAGTGGTAAAAACATGTTTAGGCAGACTGAAAATAAAACTCACTTAAAATTAAAAGACAGCAATATTCCGGAGGGCTAGACGGTGCGTTTTTTAAAAAAAAAATCATTTTTTGAAACGTTACAATCATTTAAAAATGTTAAAATAGTCGCTATTTCTAAACTATGTATTGAGCGTTAAACTTAGAATAATGAAAATAACGCATTGTCTTGCCCTTCGGAATATTGTTCTCTTTTAATTTTATAATGGGTGCTTTTACTCTAAAACCAAAATTAAGCGAGTTATATTCAGTCTGATTAAACATATAGAGATTTTGTAAAAAACTGCCTATATTTTACTCCTTAAAAATGGGCGATGCGGCGCCCTCTTAAGGGGATTGCATGTGATCTGTTATTTGACGTTTAAGACCAAAAAGCGAGGCAAAACTTTGAATACTTAGGATGGTCTGATTTCAATTCTGTAAAGATATACAAGTTATTTGGAAACTTTACTAAGTTATGTAGAAAACAGATTTTTGATTTTTTTATGTAAAAAAATTGGGTTTTAATATTGAAAAATTAATTTATATAATTACAAGAAACTGAAATTTGTATGTGAAAATCGGCTTCCTACATAACAGTAAATTAGTCAAAGGACTCGAATCTTTTTACAGAATTGTAATTGGATCATCCTATGTAATCAACATTTTGTCTGGCTTTTTGGTCTAAAATAAACCAAAATGGCTTTTACTCATAGAAACAATTATTTAAACTAAAAATGATACCTTTAAGCTTATACAAATTAACCAGTAAATTTATTGATTTGGTCGAAATTTATTAAAACCTCTTTTCTGAAAAATTGCCTTTACAAAACTCTTTAAAAACAGACCACATGTAATCCCCCTAAAAAAACTGTCGCAGCTCACATTAATTTTTATTTTTTATAAATATTTGGTACAATAAAAGTCAAACAATATTTTAAAGTTAGTATTCATTTATTATTTTATAAAATATTTGTATAAAATTGAATTTTGGCAGTAGTTGTCTTTATAAGACTTAAAAACAGTTTCGACGTCTTTATAAAAATAAACTATAGATTTTTTGTGTTAATAATCCTGTAGTTATTAATGTTTTTGATAAGACCAAAATGTTCGGTTGATAAATATTTGTTGATTATAGTATAATTACATTTGCATAAATAATAAATATTATTTTTTTTTTGTATAACCCAATATAATTAGTATTAAAATTTATTTTTGAAATTTAGGAAGCTGTGGCTAAGGGATTTGAATACGAAATTAATATTCTTGGCACTCCCGATAGTTATTTTCAAGGAATTTCAAAGGAGCTAAGACCAAAACTAGATTTCACTGCAAGTGTGTTGGCAAAAAATGGCTTCAAGCCAATTGTTCCTGATGGAGGATATTTCATGATAGCTGATTGGACGAATTTCGGTACATTATACATGTTGTTATTTAATGTTAATAATTTAAGAAGCTTCCACCACATCAATATTTAATGGAATAATTGTGAAAATGTTTAGCATAAAAGTATGTATTTAATCATTTTGATTGAGTCTGCATTTTAATAATAACAATGGAAATTTTCTATAGACAATTTTTGATCAATTTCATTAACCTTGAAATAATTTTGAGTAGTATACTATTTATAACTTAATTTGACAAAAAAGGCACATACCAAAATTTGAATTACATCTTTGGTTTTTTGAAAAAAGTCCAACTCAATTAAGGTTGTTGGATATGCAAAAGCCTAAAAAGAAGCATGGTTTTGGGTGAATACCAAACAATTGCTGAGCTTAAAAAGAAAACCTTATAGGCATGTTTTATCGTAATAAACCTGCATTTAAAAATGTATTCATTTGTTTGTAGAAAAGAAAGTGGATCTTAGTACTGAAACAGACAATTACAAAGATTTTAAGTTTGTCAAGTGGTTAGTGAAAAACTTTAAACTCCAAGGCATACCGTTTTCTGTGTTTTTCTCAGAGAAAAACAAAGAAGCCGCTTCAAAATACATGCGATTTTGTTTTTTTAAGGTAATCGTATTTTTATTTTTTAAATTACATTCGTTTATATTGATTATATTAATGTAACACTCTTGCCTTAACAGAAAGATGAAACCCTACAGCAGTTTGAAGAGATTGCTACTAATTTCAGTAAGCATATAGCTGAGAAATCACCTACAAACAAACTTTAAGAGAATAATATGTGAATTTAATGATTAAGTAGGACTGTTATAAGCTACAAACAAGTCTTAATTTTTCTTTTTTATAAATGTTCAAAATAAATTAAATATTTTATATTAGTTATTGATACAGTGTTAACGTAAATTCTTATTGTCTAATGCTATTGTATTCTTGTTAAATTATTATTAATATTTAAACTTAATCCATAAATGATTTGTTTTATATTGGAATGTTGGATTTTTTTCTAAAATCGAAACCGTACTTCTAAACTACTTCTTTTTTTATGAATATTTATAGATAACATTATCTACAGTCTGACTGTAGTGATGAAAACTCATACTAACACAAAACTGCGAAATTATTAATTTTGTCTGTTGCATACACAGAACTCAATATATTAATATATCAATTTGTTGAGTTCACATTGGTTGCATACAGCAATTACTATTACTACTAACTACTACTTATGCCACTATAACTTCTTATGTCATCTTACAAGAATACAAATAAATTGTAACATAATGTGTTCAACACTCAACATTTAATGTTTTAAGTATTGTTTTTATATTGTTATTTTTTTTATTAAAAAGTCCATTAAGAGTAGGATAAAAGGTCCTTGCCGTCAAGGTTTCCTGAGTCCTGACGGCATACACGTTTTATTGAGTATTTCATTTTTTTCTCTTTATTAATATGCTAAATATTATAATATGATAATATAATTTTGAATTTAATTAAAAATAAAATAAGGAAGTCTAAACGGTCTATATTGAGTGCTATAGAATCTTTGTACCCCTGGACTCGCATTTGGTAAGTAGTTTAAGGATTTATCAGAGGGAGTATGTATTTGTTTAAAGAGAAAATATTTAAGTACAGTTTAGTCCATAATAATTGTAGTACTTATTATAAAAAAAAAACGTATTTTCTAAATTAAGTTAGGGAATGATCATAAGAGTTTCACTAAATTGACCGACGTTTGTTTTTGTATTTTAAGCTTTGATAGGGAGCTGAACTGGTATTGGATATATCGAAGTAACAAATGGGGTATCAAAGCAACCACTTTCTGGATATTATTTCTATCCAAGTACAATATTATATTATACGTTATGTCTGGTATTTTATTTAAACGACCTTCTTTCCCTTATTTAATAAAGTCCCTTGGTTTGGCGGAGAATTGGTTGCAGTGAAATGTCCTAGACTTTAATTACTGAACTAATAACTACACATCGCAGTTTAACCTTTATAGTTTAAATTAAGGTTTTACATAAAATTGCTTTTACCAAACTCCTTAATAAATAGAGGGTATAACGTCCTCTTAAACCTGTAGCCTCCTTCTAGCATGTAGATTCTAGTCTGTAATCTGCAAATCTAAGATATTTATGGTATATTGGTAATTTATGCAATTTGGGAAAAGTGGTAGCAACCCGATATATTATATTGTGATAACCTCAGTTTGCTTATGTTTTGGCTTGTGTCTTGTGTGATAACTGATAAGTGCTAACTAAGTGCCGAGTGCGTTTGTTATAATACTTTTTTAAAAACAGATTAATTGTTATTACTTAATTTTGTATGCAGAATATTAAAGCATATTTTTTAATTATATTTTTTATTGCATACACAACTGAAAAACGTAACCCTTATGTCTCGCAAATATCAGGTATATCGAATTTAATGTACCTACCTATTACTAGCTCTCGCTCTATAGTTATGGATCCTTAAATTGGTTTGTAGTCAATATTGGTGTCACGGAGAAGAGAATTTATAATAAAACTATTAAGTATACTACAAAAGTTCTGTGATATTCTAAATTGTTAAAACATTCAACTAAAAAACAAATTTGTCTGCTTCGTTATTACATTAGTTACTTTTAAGCAAATTAATGCGACTAGTACTACAATTTTACTGCTTTATTTTTACCTGGATAGTAAAACGTACACAATTTAATTTTGTTATATTGTGAACCAAAAACCAGACTGAGGGATGGAACTATTACTTTTCTAAGCTTGTAATCATTATTCCTCACTTTGGATTATGTATATTTTGAAAATTTCTTCCTATCATTACTACTTCAATGAACTTCCTAATACTACCAATTTTGTCTCCCACAAATTTTATCAAAACATTTTAAATGTTATTAATTGCTTCAATTTTGTTAACCAATTTGAGGTACATCTTAATGATTTAATCAAAACATTTCTAACTTGAAATTCTAAAAATGATTTTGGTGTTTTTTTTTAAATAAATAGGTATTATTAATTTTTTATCTGTTGCAGTCAAAAAAATGCTTAAGAATATTCGACTTGGATCAAAAACGAAGTTTAGGAAATATTACACAAAGTGAATTCAAGCGACTTGTGAAATTAAACCTTTTGAATAATATTAGTTTTGAGCCTGAAAAAGTTTCTTTACATGATCCTGGAAGTCACAATGAAATCATTAGCATGGAAGTAGCTCCATATCCACACAAATTGTAATTAAAATAAAAATTATTATACATTTGAGATATTCAATATAATCAGATATTTTTATAAAACAAAATTGAGAAAAATAATTACAAGGATAAAGATACCTTAGTATGATTATGATCAAGCTCTATTTAGTAAAAAATAGCCAAAGACTAACAACCTACCACTGAATAGCAAATGTGTTAAGTAAGGAGGGTCTGAATTATGAAAAAACTGGAACAACCCTGGGCATTATTAACAAATTTTTTTTATTTAAATAATTTTTTACAAAATGAAATATAAATTTTATAAATAATTTTTTTCTTCTTAAAAAATCCAATTATTAATTTGAAATAAATTGTTATTTAAAATAATTAAAATAACAAAATTATAATCTTACTCAAATACGTTTTTATTTAAATACCTAAAACTTTAAATGAAACAATTTTAAATAAAAGTTTAAATAGTAAAATCAAACAAAGGTTTAATTAAAATCATAAGTTATTTTAAATAGTTGTGCAACATGACAATTAAAATACAAATGTGTTTGATACACCAAATACAAATGTATTTCCAATAACTTATTATTTTAAAATTGTATTTGTTTTAAAAATAAAATATTTTCATGGGGTTGGAAAAATCTAGGTTTATTTGAGAATTTAGGAGGCCGGAAAGCGAGATTGTTTATATCCACCCAAATTGAGATATAAAAATTATATTTAAACTCTATTGAAACATTGATTAAATTACAATTAGGTATAGCAATAAAATAAATTATATAAGGTATAATTAAAGAAATAATTATAATTAAGTGTATTTTTTTCAGGTTATTAACATTGACTAAAAACAGTTCTTTTGCCATTTTCAATATAAATTCACATCCATTAGGTTATAAGATTAAACTGAATAAACATATTCGTGCAGATAACATACTCTCTTTCACACCACCAAATTCCATTCATTGGTTTTGGGACTGTTCAATGATATCAATTGGCATCAGATATTCTATACAATTTTGGGATGTTGAAGTAGGAGAAGAAATAGAGACTATAAGATTACGTTCCAGTATATTGAATCATGTTATCGCTGCAAAGGAACATACCGTTCACGACTATGTTGCTGGTAAATAAATAAATCATTTCAAATTACAATTTATAACATTTAGAAAAGCAATTTTTACTTATAGTCTCGGGAAATGAAGGAAATGTATTCATCCTTGATATACGTGTTGGTAATATTGTATTAACTTCACACGCTGTTGAACGAAATCCCATAAGAGCTCTTCACTGGCATCCAAATAACGACTTACAATACGCTACTGGTAATGACAATGGAAACATATTTTTATGGGATACCCGATTTCAAAAAAAAGCTTTACTCAAATTCTGCGGTAACGAGAGTTTTAATCAAGTTTCCAGTCATGAACAACCAGTTGCCGGCTTGCGGTTTTATAATAATGGAACTAGTATAGTGTCTATTGATAATGAGGGTACCGTTAAATCTTGGTAAGCATTGTAACTCATTAAAATATTTCTTTTCAATAATTAATGGCAGTTCGAGCTTGATACTTCTAATATATTATTAGAGAAAAAAAATATATATTTTTATATACGCCAAACAAATGCATACAATTTAATATAGACAGTATATAAAACGTTCATCCAAAATGTATGGTGCCTGACCTCAGCAACACCATGTTTTATCACAATTTCTTGTGAAAAAATCTGCCATTGTTAATGGTAATGATATATTTACTAAATAATATTTATTTTAGGGAAGTCTCTAGTGGCCGAATACGACTAGGATACTACGATCAAGTGCAATTTTGTAATTTTAACCAACATACATTTTATAAAGAATACCAGTTTTCTACTACTGATAATTTAAAAGACGATATAGCATTTATGCCATCGGCTGAAGGGTTGTGCACATTTGATTTAAATACCGGTAAGCAACTATCATACTCAAAAGCCCTTCGTCGCAGTATCATCTGTACGTCTTATGACCCCCAAACGTTGCGTGTATACGGAAGCATGAATAACATAATTAGATCGTGGGCTCCACTTCAGCCAACACCCGATGACTTAACTTAAAAAAAATGAATTGTGTTGTTTATTTCTCTTGTGTATTCTTTCCTATGTTTTGTATATTTATAAGCAAATTATGTATAAACTCATGTAACCAATTTATGTTAACACAATTTACAAATGTATGCAATAACAAATTGTAGATATTTAATATTTGGGTAAAAATTGATTACTAAAAATACATGATTTTTTACTTAACAATTTTTTTTTTATGCCCAGTAAGTTCCAACAGTAATTAGTATTTATTCGATATTGATAAATGATCATTTTTTGTATTAATATTAATTTTTAGAATATAAATCTGTTTGTATAAAAATTAGGCTTTGTTATAAATTGATGAAAATGTGTTTTTTCTAATTTTAGTTTTAGTTACTATACTTTTAAGGTACCATTATAAAATTTAATTTATTATAAACTATAATAGATAAATTGAAAGTCAGTACAATTTAAAATCTGAATTTTTAATTTGGTATGTTTAATTTAGGTATAAGAATAACATTTCTTAGCATCGTGACAAAAATTTTACAAAAAAATTATTCCAAAAATCAATAATTTTTCGAGTAAAATTGTTTACTTGATTGTTTGTTTTATAATTAGGTACTTTTGGAGTTAAAATATTTAAAAGTGACTGTGAGAGAAATGCGAACATATTAAATAAGCCAAATTCCTTTATGCAATCAATAACAATATCTACTGTCGATTTTGTGTTACTTTGAATTACAATCTTCTGATTTCGACTATCCCAGTATTTAACTTAAATCTAAACCAAACTTTTATTTTTCCAGTATCTTCTTCTCTTCTATCTTCTTAAGTCCATCTTCCAAAAGCGGAAGTTTGGTGACCCATCAGTTGACGTTGGCAACAATCTCTTTCCAAAGCTAACGGTTTTCTGCCGATCGAATGGCCTCTCCCAGGGGATAGCCAGTGATGGTTTTGATCTGGTCTATCCAACGCATTGGTGTTCTTCCACGGCTTCTTTTCCCTTCTATTTTTCCTTCGATCATCAGCTTCTCCAGGCTCGATCCATCCCTTCTTATGATGTGACCAAAGAACCTTAGGATCCTCTGCTTACACACCACTGCCAGTCTTGTTTCCACATTTAGCATGGCCAGAATTGAGAAGTTGGTCCTCCTTTCCATCCAAGAAATTCTCAACATCCGCCTGTAGGCCCACATCTCAAAGGCGTTTATGCGCTTTACATCTTCTATTTTGAGTGTCCATGTTTCGGATCCATAGAGCATCACTGAGAAAGTAAGTGCCTTAAGTAGTCGCAACTTGCTGTTTCTGGAGATATGTTTGTACAATTGAACCTAAACATATAAATTCATTCACTTTTTGGTAGCCGTTCGGTACATTGGTGTGTGGTAATACTCCTGCTCGATCTATAACCATAACCTTTGTCTTGTTCCTGTTGATTGTCAGTCCATACTTGTTGCTTGCTTCTTCAACACGCTTTATTAATTGGCTCATCTCCGGTTCAGACTTGGTACATAACGTGGTGTCATCCGCGAACCGTAAATTGTTGATCTTTCTACCTCCAATAACCACTCCACCATTCCATTCCTGGAGTGCCTCTCTCAATACTGCTTCACTATAGATATCAAAGAGGATAGGTGATAGAATGCACCCATGCCGAACACCCTTGGTAGGTTGGAATTGATCTGATACTGCATCTTGTGCTCTGATTACTGCCTTTGATCCAGCGTATAGGTTCTTTATTAAGTGGATGATATGTTCAGGGACTCCCATTTCTTGCATGACAGTCTATAGTTTTCTCCATTGCACACAGTCAAAAGCTTTGTTATAGTCAATGAAGCACATAACCAATGGTTGATTAAATTCTCTACTCTTCTCTATGAGCTGGCGTATATTCAAGATTTGCTCACGTGTTCCTCTACCTTTGACAAATCCAGCTTGTTCCGGCGGAATTTGACTATCTACGTAGTACCTCAGTCTTGCATGAATGACATTCAGTAGGACTTTGGAGGCGTGTGAGATGAGGGAGATGGTGCAGTAGTTGCTGCAGTCTTCGGTAGGCCCTTTTTTATGAAGTGGTATGAAGATCGATTCCACCCAGTCTTCGGGCCAGGCTCCCGTGGTCCAAACCTCATTGCACAGTTTCCATAAGATCCTTACTCCTTTATCTCCAGATAGTTTCAGCATTTCTGCAGTGATTTCATCTGATCCAGGTGCCTTATTATTCTTCATCTTTGACACTGCCTGTTCAATTTCTTCTGAGAGAATTTCTGGTTCCTGTTCACCATACGTGATTTCATTGCCAATGTGCTCATCTGGGTCTGTGTACAGCTTTTGGCAGTAAGTCCTCCAGCATTCCAGAATGCTGCTTGGGTCTGTCTGCACTTTTCCATTTTCATCTTTAATAGCTGATCTCCTTAGCTTAAAATCCCCAGTGAGCTTCTTAATTTCTTAGAACAGTTCACGTGTATGGTTCTTATCTGCATAAACTTCAATTCTTTTGCACGTCTCAGTAATGATCTGATTTTTGTCTCGACGGATTTCCCTTCTTATCTGCTCTGAAAGTTGGTTGTATTAAGGGGTGCAGTGGAGGCCCTTGACTTTCAGTTCGCGGCGCTGTTCGATGAGGTTAATGGTTTCCTTGGAAAACCAGCAGTTCTTCTTTTGATTTCTCGGCCGTTCTTTTATTACCTCATTCTTGGTAGTCCTAAACTCTTGTTTAAGATCGGCCCAGTTGTTGATGATATCTTCAAGTCTGAGCTTTTGCTGTAGGATGGTTCCAAATCTTTCCCACTCCTTTTTGCTAGTTTTATGTTGACTTGTTTTATGCTAGGGTCTCTTACATTTTTTCAGATGATTTCGCAGCTTAGCCACCAGCAGTTGGTGGTCTGATCCGCAATCTGCACCTGGTCTTGTTTTGATGTTCTCAATACTTGATTTCCACCTTGATGGAATTAGGCAGTAATCAATCTGATTCTTGTACTCTCCGTTTGGCGAGGTCCATGTGTATAATCTTCTTGGATGGTGCTTGAAGAGGGTGTTAGTTATGACCATGGATGTACTCTGGCAAAATTCAAATCCCAGTATTTAACTTAAATCTAAACCAAACTTTTATTTTTCAAGTATACAGGGTGTAATATAAAGTTCTACCGATCTTCAAAATAAGACATTTGGGATGCTCTATGGGTACAATAAATTATGTTCATTTTTTTAAAAAAATTTTAAATTATTTAGAACTTGTGTATCATTAAAAAATTATCTGACGAAAAAAATAATTACATATTTGAAATCAAGAGAAAAAAATCTTGTTGAATTGATATATAACATGATTTTTTGGTATCTGGCCACACATGAGTCCATAGGGTGGCCACCAAGTAGCCGGCATGTGACCAAAACCAACATATGGCATGCGACACATAAATTTGGATTAAAATTTTACTCTCAATTCAGTGATGTCCTTAGAATTATTTTATATTCAATAGATTTTATGTTCAATAAGAAATTAGTATCATTTTTATTAACGTATTCATTTATTTAAAAAAATTAAAAAAAGTATTTATGAAATCAAAGAGAGCCTAATTATAGTTTGTTCTGAAAATCTCTGTTTGTCATATTTTTTTAAAATAGTAACGTATATATTTGATTAACTTTTAAAATCAATAATAATTTGCGGAACATTTTGACTGGTCGATAACCAGTTTTCGATAATTATTTTCAAAGTTATTAATGTTTAAAATTTAGGACGGGAGGAAAGCTGGGGAGTAGAGCTATTTTTTTTTTGCGTGCATTATTCAACCGCACTACCCCTCACGTCCTAACTTTTAAACTCTGAAACCAACTATCCAAAATTGATTATGGACCAGTCAAAATGTTCAGCAAATTATACTTAATTTAAACCATCTACACATTTTACCAGAATTAAATTTTACCATTCTATATAAATAAATGTACATAGGTGATCAACGTAACATCATATGTTTGTCAGAAAATAGTGACAATTTCATATTTTTTCTTTTATATGCAGCTATTGCAAGTGTTCTACTTTTTTGTACATTGTAAAGCTGTGTCAACTTTTGAAATTTAAACGTTAAAAATTAAGAGTAATTTATTAACATTTTGACAGGTCGATAAAAAGTATTGGATAAATACTTTTAGAGTTAAGGCGGTGGGAGGATAATGAGATTCAGTATTTAGTAATTCACGCAGTTAAAAACAACACTACACTTCACTTCTCCTTCTAGTTAATATTTTATACAACTAATTATTCAAAACGAATTATCGACCAGTCAACACTTAACATCAGATTAATGTTTATTGATTTATTTGGCCTCTTGGCACGGAATTTTTTATTGCATTATCAATAAAATATAACAATTTTATGTCAATTTGATTTTTTCAATTTGACAATTACACTATAACATTTACTAAACACTTGTTAGTCAATTATCTACTAGAAAGATTGTCAAACGTTATCATAGTTCATAATGAGTCGGATGCTATTGTAATGCAATGTCGAGTGAAACGTTCGTTGGAATATCTGACCAATCCATTCGCATAATTATAACGGCATTGATAATCCCATATACGTGCATAGTTCTCTATAATGTTCATGTCACCGAGGCCGAGGCCATTTTAGTTTGCGGTGTGATTAAAGTACAACAGTTTAAAAATTAAATAAAATAACTTTAAAAATACGAATCAAACACACGAGATATTCAAACACTGAACAAAAAAATCAGTCTTTACCATGTAAGTACTTATTAAGTATCAATGAATTGAAAGAAATGTTTATCTGTAGGTAAAATTAACATGGTTAACTTCATTTGTATCGACAATTGTAAGTAATTGTAAGAAAATGTAAGTTTATTTTTTAACAAAAAAAATCGGTCATCTATAATTTTAACTAAGAGTTTTACATTTTAATACTACGATATCAATATATTAAAAATTGTAAAAAAAAATATGTTTAGTTTTTTCTAGAAAAAATTACATTAGCTTCATTCATTTACAATTTCCCCACTTGGGTTTAATTGTTAAGAATTAAATTGATTATATTTTAACTAGAATTATATAAACTTCTAAATAGGTACAATCTATACTGAGGACATGTATTTAATTTATTAAGTAACCGAATGTTTTCAGGTATGTAATATGCAATAGCATTCGAGTGGGAAAACGTGTGCATAGTATTGTTTATCGGTCATTTAATAGATATTTGTCTGCAGCCAAATATGATGATGCAAATCAAATGGATAAGTTTAAGTTGGCTGAACGGTACACATCAGGGAAATACAATGTATGGTATGTTTATTTCGTTTACAACAAAATTATAGTTAAAAGTTAAATATTCGATAATTAAAAATGTATATTTTCTGATTTAATTAAAATTTGTCATTTAATGTATATACCTACGTCGAACTTATTATTACAGTATCGAGTGTGCTACCGAGTAAATAAATCAGCATTAATGCTAACATAAACATCAGTGGTGAAAATACACTTATCTGACACAATAATTAATATTTGCACCATATACTTGTCTAACCAAATCTCATTCACTGAAAAGATCTGAAAAATATCCTAAACCAATTACTATTATCACAGATTTTACTTGGTGACTTTAATAGCCACTATATCTAGATATCTAACAAAATTGATGACAGGGGTAAGGAACTAGAAAATTTCATTCAAAATTTCAAAGACAAAATTTGTTATTACTACTCAACATATATAACACGTTAAGAGGACCGCGTCAATGCAATGTTCAAATAACCGTCAAGCACATTATACGCAATGCCAAAAATTAAAAAACTCAAGATCCATCATCTATATAGGAAGTTTATCAGCAAGTCTGGGACCTGATGAGCAAACCCTAAGAAAAACTCAAATTCCCCTCCACGAATCCAACCTGTAAAAGAATTATAATAACGTAATAATATAATGTCATTAATGATTAATGTAGTATATATTTTTTTTAATAATTTGTAATGGAGATTGTAGCCAATCTAAATAAAGATCAATTAAAAAAAAAAATGAATTGACAAAATTAGATATCGTATCACTTGACACAAAAATTATGTATACAAAATTCCAATCTTTATGAGGAAAGTAGAGGACAAGACAGAAAATAATAATTAAATAAAGTGGAAGGTTCATAAGGTTTCTTTTCGTTAGCGTCGGTGATACATTATTTTTATGTCAATTGTTAAAAAAAGATGACTGGTAATTGAGGCATCCAGTTTTAAAACCAGCCCTAAGACATTTTGACAACGTGTTTGGTTTTTAAGTGACGACAATGTATTACATGTTATGTAAAACTGTTATTGAATATCAAATAAAAAATATAACTAATTCAAACTGTGTCTGTTTGAAAATCTTGGTTGGTTCTATCTAAAGAAATTATTTGTTGTTTTGTGAAAATTTTCAAAAATTGTATATCTGGTTTTGAAGCTAGGCGCCTCAATTATAGTAAAATAATAAAAATATTTTTTATAATTTTCTATTTCTTTCTCTACGCTCATTGATCTCTACGCCAATGTATGTAATTTTTCATTTAATTATTGTTCTTAAATTATATCCGTGGCAGCGCTACAATGAAAACAACTATTTTAATTACTGTATATTAGCTACACACCTTTGATTTTTAATTTAAAATGTTTTGTTCTCTTTTATTTGTATTGAGTATTCCTCCTTCTATCGTTTGTAATTTATTTATTAACACCGTGATAATATATATTGATATAGCTATAATTTGTTAGTACTGTCAACATAATGTTTTTACACAAAAAGACAAAGCCATCTTGTTTTTTTTTTACATAATATATAAATATATATCAATAAACATAATTTTAATAATACCATTTTATTTGTATGAAACGTACCCTAACGTGTTATTAATTATTAATTTGTGTACATTTTAGTGTTAACTAACAATTATTTCAACTCTACTAAACCATGAGTTTTTTTTTGTAATTCTTATTTGTATTCAAATAGACTATCATAAGTGAGTTACACATCATTGTTTCAAGTTATAAATTAATCTTAACATTTATTTTTTTGAATCGAATTCATGTAAAAACAAACAGTGTTGTAATTTGTCAGTTAATTGTTAATTTTGTTTAATTAAAAATATATTTTAAATAATACATAAGTAAAATGTATACATATATTTATTTTGTAAATTTATTTTATTATTATGTTAACATTTTAGACTTAAGTGAAACTATCTAGCTTGATGTTTTTAGAATGATATTATACTCAATATTGTGGTCTACTATTTGTGATTCTTAAAATAATTGTAACCTGAAAAATTTGTTTTTTTTATACTGTTCATAAATGCTGATACGCTTGATATTTCAAGTAATTTATTTTTATAGCAAATATAACAATATACAATTTTTTGGAGAAGTAAACCCTATAGTAAAGGCAGGTCTATCTCATTAATTCTGAGCAGCAATACATTTTTTTCTTTCTCTAAACAGAACAAAACCCATTACTTACATATTATGGACACTTTTGCTGGTGCACAATTTCAGTTATCAAGTAAACAAATACATAAAAAAGTGAACTTCGTGACTTCTAACCACTGTGGGTGAATTTTAAATATTCTGATCAAACTTTCCATCTGTTGTGAATCAAATGTTGCTGGTCTGGCGGTATTCCTTCTTTATCTTGAATTTAGCTTTAATATTTTCAATAGAATCAGACGATTCAACTTCTTAGTTATCAGTTTAGAAGTGCACAGTGACTAAAACTACTTATATAAGCAAGTTATCACAAATTCTCTACTTTTCGCGTAAATATTGAACATAATATTAAACCTTATGTTTTTTTCTGTATATTTTGTAATTTTAATTGCAGGGTCGAATTTATTGAATTATCTATGAAATATAAAACGTTAAACTTGGGTCACGGTTACCCCGACTATAATCCATCTACGTATATCTCGCAGTATTTGACAGAAGTAGCTATTGAGAGCGGCCAGTTCAACCAATACACCAGAGGTTTTGTAAGTAATCACAATATATTATAACACAACAAAATATAACTGAGTTTTCTTGCACAATGCACCTTAGACGAATTCGTTTATTTCAGGGTCATATGCGCTTGGTAAGTGCCTTGGCCAAGTTCTATTCAATCTTGAACGGCCGACACATCGATCCCAACAGCGAAGTGATGATCACGGTGGGCGCGTATGAGGCTCTGTTTTGCGCCATACAAAGCACCTTGGAACCCGGCGACGAAGCCATCATCATCGAACCGTTCTTCGACAGTTACGAGCCGCTGGTGCGCACTGTGGGCGGCGTCCCTCGGTTCATAGCGTTGAAAAATGTTCGCATCATATTCGACCTGTTTCACCGAATATTGTCAAGCCAGTCAAAGGGTTGAAGTGCTTAACAATGTTCCGTTAAACAGGGTGTACTACTTACACGAATTCGACAGAGATAATACATAATAATATGGTTGGTACAATAATTGTTTGTCTTAGACTAATCCCGATTCGACCGTCTCGCGTGCTAGCGATTGGAAGTTGGATCCGGACGAGCTAGCTTCGCTGTTCAATACAAAAACTAAACTGATCATTCTTAACACTCCTCAAAATCCAACCGGCAAAGTTTTTGACTTAGAAGAACTCACGATGATTGGCGATCTGTGTAAGAAACATAACGTTCTCTGTATATCGGATGAAGTGTACGAATGGCTGGTATATGCTCCTACCAAACACATCCGAATAGGTAAAAATTTTACGGTTTTGACATCAATGGTTGTGTTAAGTGGACAAATATTTTACATTTTAAGGCATTTTACTAGATTTTAAGAGGAAAGAAGTAAACTTTAGCACCTTTTGAATACCACACAGACAAATTTAAAAAAAAAAGGATTTCGAATCGGTTTAGGTACAGGTTTATAGTTTATAAGAAAGTAACACTAGACAAACTTTCAGTCAAATTTACATATGAGGCGCCTAGAACATTTTAATGATTTCGAGAAAATCAAGTTCAAAGCTTACATCCATATGGCGTTTTCGTTTGAGGGTTTGGTGATTCACTAGCAGATCGCAGCAAATGATAAATAATTCACTTATATATCTTTACCACTAAATAAAATGGACAATTTATAGTTTAGCTGTGGACTTAACTCAGATTTTGTACAAATGTCACTTATACCCCTTGTGTTCTAGGAGCCTCATATATATATAATGACCTCAGCCCTAAAACTACCCCTGAAAAAAAATGTTACAACCCCTTCAGGAACATTTCAGTGGATTGATCATATTTGATTGAGTTAATGAATGGTATATTTATGGTACTATATAAAAATAATTTCAAAAGAACTTCCACTCAAATTTTTAAATATTGTTCAAAAAGAATTGTTGTAGGTTAATGTAGCTGTACATAATATGCTTATCATGTTAATTTTTTTAAGAACATGTAATCTGTAAAATTTAATAGGACAATAAGTATATGTATAATACATTAGCGCTGTGGTACATTCCATAAAGTTAAATGTCACCCATTAGTGACATTTAAATTTAATAAAATCCCGTAAGTATAAAATTTTAATGTGGTTAACAAAATATGTATGCCAAGCAAGGTTGGAATTAAGGAATATTAAATCAATAAACATGTAGTGATTTCTTAAACACCATGTAGGGGCTTGTTATGTTATTGGGACATTACATTTGAAGTTAAATTTATTAAAACTTGTGCAGGTCGACATATTTAGATGATTTTCGATAGACGCTTTACTCGCTAGGTTTAATGTATACTACATATATGATAGATAACTGATATTGCATATTTGTAAAAAAATCAAGGCTATACATTCTCTACGGTTGTTTAAAACAGGGATAACACGATCTAAAAACTAACAATTTTTTCTTTTAAGATTATTTAAAATGTATTGTAAAATTATGGTTCTATATAATTGTAACCATTAAAAAAACTGTAATTTAAAAAAAAACTACCTATACATTTCATAATAATTATTTAAATTATATCTAATATTTATTTCTTCTATGGAATAATTGTTAGCATCGCTTCCTGGCATGTGGGAAAGGACCATAACGATAGGATCTGCAGCTAAGTCATTGAGTATGACAGGTTGGAAGCTCGGATGGGCCTATGGTCCGGACTACCTCATGAAAAATTTACAAGTACTTCACCAAATTACGATTTACACTTGTGCAACGCCTGTACAGGTACATATATAATTTTTTCAATTTGGCGAGTTGTGCTTATGCATGCTTAAGCGTCTAATACAATACTGAAATATCCTACCAAATACATATTGTGTCCGAGATGTGTAAGAAGAATGACATTGGGATGGGGATACGGTTTGAAGGGGTGAGAATGGAATGGGATGATGATACAAGGAAATCGATAATCCCGGGTTGACAAGACACAGAAAATGAGTTGAACACTAGTTCCAGATACTCTGGAGTCTAGTAGTATAATAGATCTGAATGAATTTTTATTTGTTTTGAGTATTTAAATATTAAATTGTTTTTTTTTTCATAAAAGCCTTTATTAATAAAAAATATTTGGCTCAACAATTAGACACTAATGATAAGTAAAATGTAAATGTAAGATTACATTATTAGTAATAATATGATTTTGAGCGACAATATAAAATAAGAGAAAAACAAAACAAAAAGAAGAAAAACAATTAGAGAGTGCATTAAACTAAATAACATTGATACAAACGTATAACTTAAATTAAATTGAGAAGCCAAGGTTCTTGAGAAAGGAAAGAATTGCAAGAAAGACAGGAACGGAACGAAAGTTTAATAATAAGTTAACGGTAAAGGGAGGCTGAATGTTAAGAGAAGAGAGGAAATCAAATAGGAAGAGCCTTTTGTTGGTCAAAACTGGACAGATAGTAAGGTGAGGGAAGTCGCAAATAGCTTCACCATCATGAAGAGGACAATATGGAATATAATTAAGCGATAGATGGAATGCATGTGACGGTAGAAGATTATGGCCAAGTCTAAGGCGTGAAAAAAAAGGACATACATTTCAGGGAATATTTAAATTATGGAACCAAGGACGAAAGGTAATGGAAAGGGAAATAGAACGGAGCCGGCGGTTGGAACTGAGGTTAACGTTGGACCATTTGTCTTCCCACGCTTTGACTACAGTATAACGGAAAAGGCGGAGGAAGTCAGAAGAAGGAGTATTGGATATGGTCGGAATTAAGTGGGATGAAGTGGAATTAGCGAGGAGGTCGACAATTTAGTTACCCGTAATACCAACGTAACCTGGGACCCAATGGAAAATAACTTATTTGTTTTGTGAGTGGATTGAAGATCTGTTAATGATCTGATGATGAGGATAAAAAGGGAAAGATGAGAATTGAACGGAAAGGATGATTTAGCTTGTAGGCATGAAAGAGAATCAGAACAAATTATATAAGTCGTATTAGGAGTGGAGGAAATGTAAGTAAGGGCATGGATAATGGCGAGACTTTCAGCCGTAAAGAAAGTTGAGACTGGATGTAATTTGGAAGAAAAGGATATATTTAAGTCAGGAATAAAAAAGGAACAGCCTGTCGAATTGATATCCGTGTATATAATACATGTATTAGGAAATGAAGAGGAGATATAATCGGAAAAGAGATTGTTGACTGTTGAAGGGGGGAGAGAACGAAGGGTTTTAACGTGGAGGCCGAGAAAACTAGTGCTGAACGGTGGATTTAAGAGTTAGGGAATTAAATGGGCAATCATATAAGGGTAGTCTCGAATGCGATTTATATACAAGGAGAGAGAGAGTGACAAACTGAGGCCAAAATAGGGAGAGATTTGGGAACGTAACGCCAGGAAGATTTTATATCTGCGAAGAGATTATAAATTAGGGAATTAGGAGAAGAGAGAGATTTAAGTAGAAACTTATCGGCGAGCCACCGGCAGCGGATTTCGATATGGGGGAGGACAGTCTACAAATAAGCTAGAAATGGAAGTGAATTTCAAGGCACCTATGATACTGCGTAGGTAGGAGGCGAGAATAGAGTTTAATTTATTTCTATGAGTGTGAGAAGCAGAGACTAATAAAAAGGATCCATACTCTATTTTTGAACGAATGACGGAATTATAAATAAGAAGTAAGGAAGTGGGAAGAGAGCCCCAGATTAAATTGATTTAAAAAAATTCATGAAGTACCGAACAATTATTATTAATTTTAATTGCCTTGTGTATGAATGCCGTCATTATATATTTTAAATTCAAACCAATTTTAATAATCAGTAAATTTCATCTAGGAAGCTGTGGCCAGAGTGTTTGAACATGAACTCAAAGTTTTTGGTACGAACGATAGTGTTATTCGAGGTATAACTAAAGACCTTCGACCAAAATTAGACTTTACCATCGATGTATTAGTGAAAAACAATTTTAAGCCAATCATACCCGATGGAGGGTACTTCATAGTTGCAGACTGGACTAATTACGGTTATTATTTAAAATGCATTTTGTACTTTGGACATATGATATTCATTAAATGCAATTTTTTTTAAATTTTTTATACAGAAAACAAAGTAGATATTAGTTCCGAAACAGACGAGCACAGGGATTTCAAATTTGTTAAATGGCTAGCGAAAAACTATAAGCTTCAAGCAATACCGTTCTCTGTGTTTTTCTCGTCCAAACATAAAGCGGAGGCTTCCGATTATATGCGGTTTTGTTTTTTTAAGGTAATTGTTCAAACCAACTCATCACAGTAATAATTGTTTTTATTAGTAAATAGCATATTATAATATAAATTTGAACTTACAGAAAGACGAGACACTGCATCAATTCGAAGATATCTTGAAACGCTTTAAAGAATCAAATTGAATAAATATATAATCCAATCTTATAAAAAATGTATGATGTTAGTTAATACAATGTTACCTATTGAATACCTAAAGAATTAACTATAATATAATACAACAAATTACATTTTTTTTTGTGTATATATGTTAAATCTAACGTGTACACCTACTTAACATTTTTGTCTATCAAACCATTAAAAAAAAAATAAAGTAAGCTTTTTTAAATAAAGAAGTTACCTCGTTTAAATAAAATTAATTAATTATAAACAAATAATTTATTTGAAATATTTACTATATGGAAAATATTCAGTGGCGGATCCAGGGGTTGTCCAAGGGGGGGGGGAGCGAATTTTCGTTTTTTGTAGGTGTAATAAAATTACCTTTTTTGTTTTTTACTTTTTAATTATTGTCTACAAAATATGTTACAATGTATTAATTATTTTGATAAGTTATTTTTTAATTAATTATTATTAATTCAGTTTAATTTTGACCCAATAAACTTTCATAGAAAATAGCTACAACAAGTTTGTTTAAATTCAAATACATACTTATAATTAAGTAAAGTACAATACTCAGATATTTTTAATATAAAATCAATGCATCTTTTTTTTCTTTAGTAAATCTTTCAATAATATCATCTACATTTAAGGGGATTCGATACCGGCCTTTTTTTCAGTCAAAACACATCATATTTTGTCCATTGCACAGGCCGTACCAGTAATCCGATAAGTAATTTGAAAACAGATTTGAATTCGACATGAAGTTTACTTAGGATCGGTCAGAGTACTTATTAAAATTTTTAATTTTATCCCTTTCCAATTTTGATTTAAAAATTTAAAAAAAAGTATACTGACCGATCTTAATTAAACTTCATGACGAATCCAAATCTGTTTTCAGCGACGGAACAAAAAAAGTACTATTATATTAACTAAAATGGCTTTTATTCATAGACAAAATTATTTAAATTAAAAATAATACCATGGAGCTTATACAAATAACCAGGTAAATTAGTTGACATGGTCGAAATTTATTACAACCACTTTTTTCTTGGGCCAAAACTCGGACCAAGGGGGCGATCGCCCCATCGCCCCCCCCCCCCTCAAAACCGCCACTGAAAATATCGCATCAATCTAAATATATCAATCATTGTGTTGCTAAGAAAACGTAAAAAAAAATTAATGTACATATTACAATTTTGAAGAAATAAATAAAAATAGGTCTTCAAGATGTTATACTTTATAACAAAAAGGTTAAACACTTCAGAAAGTGACTTCGCGTTTAGTCTTTGTTTGTATAACATTTGACGCTTTTCGGTCCCCTTAATTTTTTTTCGATTTAATAAATTTTTGCCAAAATATTAACAAAAAAAGAAATATTTGGGATATTATTCAAACTTATGATATCGCGGTTTCCAAAGAACAACGACCTAACTACAAAAAGTTAAATTTTACAGGAGTGTAAATTGGAAAAAAAATAGTTTTAATAACAATGCATATTATGTACAAAAAAAAACCAATAATTCTGACTAATTATTGCCTTTATATTTTCATTTTTTTTATAATACAATTATTTTATAATAAATAATTTTGCACTTGTGTCGTTTTTCTTCGGACCCGCGATATTCGATTATTATACTGTTTTTTAGTATTTCCAAAGTTTTAACAATTTTCGTCCACTTCTTTCAAAGTAGGACATCTATTTATGAAATCCAATGCTATTGTTTTTAATAGTTTTACACCTAACATAATGGACCTTTAAATTTATTCTATTAGAAATAGATCACGTCATCAAAAAACAAGACTGTTGTTCTCCTATATTTTTTATATTTTTTAACTACTGCAAATTAAATAATCGTACATGTTTCATTCAGTATGACATCAGGTGGTTTTAAAGTGATATTGATTTTATTACATTATAAAAAAAAATTCTTAATAATAATTTTTATTTATATGCATGTTTTGAAATATATTTGGAAAATGAAATACAGTTTACAATAGTTTTCAATTTCATTTATCATATATATTTCAAGATCATTTATTAATTTAATACTTACTTGGTTTTTTTTAAAATTAAGACAGTAAAAACTATACCTATGCAGGAGTATATTTTAAACAAGTTCATAGGTAATAACAAATTAGGTATAAAATTTAAAAGTAGGTGCTACGACGATTTCTTTATACATTGACAATGAGATTTTAAAATTATACAATATGTGTACCTTACATAACGCATTAACTTATTAAATTAATATAGATACATAAAATCATAAAATATTATAAACAAAATAAGTTCAATATAATTATTATTAATATTCAGGTAACATTAAAACCAAAAATGATTAAACAATAATATGATATAGTGTTTGTTTTGATTTAATTTTTTCTTAAGATATAGGTACAATTTCTTATTAGGTAGCCATGTTGTACGTTGATGACCGAAAGTGGTACATGTTTTTATTAATTAATAAATAAATTTTACAAAACAAATCCAAACAATAAATAAACAAAAAAATTAACAAATAAACAAAAAACAAATAAATAAATAAATTACAACATAGCTTCAATTGTTTTTGAATTATTTTAAAACTATAGTCTTTTAGTAGTCAAAATTAGTAAAACAAAAATCGAAATCCATAATTGACAAGTATCTATATAAGAATAATGACGTTATCATAAATATACACGTTAATTGTATGGAAATGAATCTACAACCGTTTGTAAATAATTACTTAGGTACTTCAACCCTTCCAAAATTGATACGCGTTGAAAATCTATCGACTGTAACTCCCTCAAAATCAATATCCAATACGAATTGTAATATTCACAATAGTTTATACTTTTATTGTAGCTTATATAATATCGAGACTCGAAGGAAAACGTTATTTACTTAACACTATAAAATACATTATACTAATTGTATTGTTATGTAAATGTCCAAAGTGGTATATACAAAGAACCTCGCTACTTAAAAATAACATTAAAGGTATTATAGTTACTTTTTATACAACTATGATTAGAATATTAACTATTTTAAATACACAATAATAATCAAGTAATAGTATCTAGTAACTACGAACATGGATTGCACAAAAAAATCAATTGGTAACGAAGTCAGGGTATAATAATATGAATCTAACTAATCCTACTCTAGAAGGATATCCATAACGGTTAACATATAAACAATTCGGGCAAACTCGGATAATTATGTTGCATTGTACATAATATATGCATGACGTACAAATACAAATGAGGAATAGTCTCAATGAGTATTTAATATTAAATAAGCGTATTAGGTACGTACGTTTATTCTACGGTATTAACGTTCAATTTATTACACGCATGAACATTAAATTATGCTTTCAGTAAAATGATAACGGGGCGAAAACCTAGCCATGATAATAATAATAGTACTATAATAATTCAGTAGTATTGTTTAAAAAAAAAAAAAAATCAATAGGGAAGAATAAGGAAACCTTCGGAATAACACGGCGTTTTTAGTCGTCGCCTGTTTCAGTATAATAAATACTCTGCAATTAACTGGACCCGTTGGATATGTGATAATTGTGTGTTTTAGGCAACAGAGCTTGTCGGACCACCTGACCCTCGTCCGAGTCTTCTTCCTCCAGTTCGGGTAGGGTTTCCATGAGAGGTGGCGGTGCCGGGTTTGGATGCGGTCCTTTGCCCACCAGATAGTAAGTCATTAGCTGTCCTTTGCCCTTGACCGTCACCAATCCGCGTTGTTCGAACTTAAACCCGAAGTGCTGTAATATGATGCAAGTCTCTTCCGTCACCTGTTATGAAAGGTGAAAAAAAAAATTCGTGACTCAATTTGTGTTGAAGTGCTAAATATCGGAGATCAATAAGACCAGAATAGGTAATCTACCACCGATAGAGGGACTTATATTTTTAACTGTTCGTACCTATCGATAATATCGTTGCGTTCTGTCAGTAAGAAGCTTACAGTTTCAATTTTTAGACACAGAAAAGTATGCCCTAAAATTAATAAAGTAGGTAATTTGCTTTTTCCTTTAAATCCTATTGTTAAGCATCGTCAGATTAAGTTATAACAAATAACCTTTACCTCTATGCTACTGAAGGTTTTTAAGCATAGTTTTCAACCTTTCATTTGAAATATTTTTCAAAATTGTACCATATTATAAAAACCATATTATGGTAACGACAATTACCACTAAAGAAAATTAACTCTCTATTAATGACAATATTGTGTTGTTGAAATAATTCTAAGGATAACTATCGAAAGTAACCTACAGTAAATTTGAAAGAGTTTGCTTGGATAGAATGAAAAACGTATAAAATAGCAACTAAACAGTTTTATCGGAAACATTTTTTTCTTCGTTTTAGATTCGAGACTAACGAGGTAGGTTACTTACTTGTATGCAGCCAGCTTTGCCTGTGCTCTCCATGCGGGATGCTACGTTCACCGAGTTTCCCCATATGTCATAATGGGGTTTCCTGGCACCAATTACGCCGGCTGTTATTGGCCCATGGTTGATACCTGGGGACATTGGGTGTTACGTTATTGAGGAAAAAAAATTTAATTGTTATTAATATAACAAGCTAATTTCAAAAGATTTTACAATAGAGCGGATTTTATTATATTACCTTCGGTAGTAATAAACATTTTTTTTCAATGCTTTCAACTCGACGAACGCGACCATAGTAATTAATATACTCCATGCACTTTTCGCACGTTTCGAATTACCCAAATGTATCACGTCACACGGGGTGAAGTGTTTTACGGGTAACGAATTCGAAAACTTTTGTAAGAACGGGGTATTCGACAACTCGTAGAGGCCCTATTTCACCCTCGGAGTATCGGATGCGCGGAGTCGTAGAGGGTCCAGATAGTAAACAATGTTAAAAAAAAAAAAAACGGTGTCACCGCTCCAGCCCAGACACAAAAATGCAGTTCTCGACTACCGTACTAAGGAACAAAATGGGGAAAAGGAACAGTGTTGAAAGCGCTAGCTAGAAACATATTCAAAGTCGATACGGAATGGGTCACTGGGAAAAGACATGTCGATCAAACTATAATGATTAATAGCGGGGTAGACACCGAAACAACAACCGAGGAGGTAAGGGAAAAATCGACACTGGAAGACCAGGGGACAGTAGAAATTCCCCCCCCCCCCATCACAATCACGTCCGGTTAGGCAACAGAGGCAACCCGATCGGTATATGTCAGTGGATTTCAGGAAGAATAAGTAAGGTTGTTTTGTATATATATATTTCTTTTTTTTTCTGTAATAACTAATAACCAATAAGTATGATTAACAACTTACAAACCTATATTGTATAATTTGTTTCTAACTGTCTATCCATACATATATATATATATATATATACATTTTACTCTCCAAGAGGAGGAGTGTTGTACTGAATGTACAATAAATAATTATTACGTAACCTATATTCCCTGAACAGACTTGTATTATTAATATAATATATTATTATTGTACGAGTACACAAAATATTTACCCATTTTCAATACAAAGTGGTTGAAACTTTGTTCGTTAATTCCTTGCAATGCTTTTTTCAGATCAAAAGCAAAGTCGACGAGAAGCGCTAGATGTGCCCATCTTATTTCGATTGAATCTTCGGCCTAAATTCATCAACGATAAGTAAGTGTCAATAAAAATATGAGCGTAACCAGTGGAGTTATTACCTTAACCATTCTCGACGGATTTAACCCGCTAGCCGCCATATAAGTGGAACCAATAGTTTTGATTTTAATGATGTCTTGGTACCGTGGTTGTTCCAAAAGCTGTACAGTAACGTTGATTAGTCTTATGTAATTAGACGAGCGTTGAATATAGCAATAACATTTAAACTTACCGCGTCAAAATCAGATATTACTTCGTTGAGGAATCTTAAACATTCCAGTCCCTGGTTGTTCACCGTCTCTTCGGAATAAAAGTCTAAAAGATAAAACAATTATTTTATTGTACTTGATGACTTAAATTTCAAAAAAGAAAATATTAAATCAGCTTTACTCGACAAGGAAAATAATTTACTATGTGCTGTATTCGACCTACCAGAAAAATTAGGCATCGAAGCGAACAGCACTCCGACTTCAGCATAACTTTGACTATATAATTCTTCATGTTGACGTTTGTAGCTTCCCAGGAAGTGTTTGGCTACATGTGGCGGTAGGATGTTGTACACTAAAGCTTCGTTACGTCTTCGGATGTCGGATGCCCTTTCTCTCTGTTCTTCCACCTCAGTTCGCCACAAGTATAGTACCCTCGACGATTTATCCATCTGAATCCATAACACATTGCGGTTAATACCGACTGTAGGAATTTCCAAAATATTTAAAACGTATAGGTGATACTTACGTTCCTAGCCAAGTAAACGAGTGCCATGGTGACGGAGATCAGCAAGAACGATAAAGCGTATTTGGACGATAAAATCCTGACAAAAAGACAAAACGCTGGTAAGAAAGTAACAATAACTCGTTTAGTATATTTGAAAACCCTGTCTTGTAGCAACTATCATTCGCTTTACAAAATCTTTTAAACAACTGCTACTGTTTCTATTGTATTGGCCTATCTGGGATACCCACAGTGGTGTTGAATATTATACGTTTATAACGGTACACCGAAATCCGTTAAGTTTGAAGTAGTGCAGAGTGCATTACTGTTTAATTTGTTTTATTTGAAATCACGCTGCACTAGCTATTTGTTAAGTTCCAGAAATAATGATTGAGCCTAAATATAATATAGTAGCCGGTTCGTAATTGGTACTTATAAATTAAATCTTCGGACAGATACTATTATTATGCAAAACTTAGCGTCGATTGTTTTAGTGTTACTAATTTTGTTTTGAAGTAATTTTCGCGCATGGATAGTTATTACCGTATAACTTTATTGCTTTAAGTTTTTCGTTTCTATTTAAGTTTAATTCAATCAATGCTGTAAGCGTAAAATTTTAGACGGATATCATATAAATAAGTTGCAGTCAACGGTTAAACATGTAACAAAGTATTACTTGTATGGTTTGCTAATGATGGAGTCCTCGCAGTCGATGGCGCTGCTTACGGTTATCATGTTGATAACGCAATGCATGAGAGCGATGATTATGAGAATGGCTGCTTTGGTGAAATGCGATAACTGAGTTAACATGGACGTAGCTATTAGCGCCAACACCATGAAGTAAGTGAAATACGACGGGTACATGCAAACGCTAGACGGATTATTATATACTTGAGTGCAATTGGCCGGAATCTGATCTTCAGACCAACAAGACACCTGCAATGGTCAACCATATTTAAATATAACGCAAAAAAAAAAAACGTTGGTAATAAATAAAAGTTAAAATAATTTTATAATCAATTAAAATTTGTTGAGTTATTTAAAAATGATATACCCATGTAAAACTATTATTCTTACAGAAAATAAAAACATAAATATGATTTAAGTGATTATAATTATTTATATTATATAATTATTAATTGTTCGTTTAGGTAGTTAGTGTAAAATAATATATAAAAGGATATTCAAATTGTATAATATTCAGGTAAACTTGAGATACATACTATTGGTTTCATTGCTGTCAGTCAATTCAACAACTCACTAAAAACCAGTAATTGAATTCACTTGGAAACAGCAGACTATTGTATATATTATGTATTCCATTATATATAAAGCAGTTTTGTAATTAAAAATCAAATGTTTTACTTTATATACAAAAGTCGTTTGAATTTATTATCCAAACATAAAGTAATAATATTCAAGTATTAATAATGTTGTCTGGTGATAATAATCATAATCATTAATTCACTATTAAAAGTTATGAAATGGTCCCCATATTTTTGCGCTTAACAATCACTACATACATTATCGAGAGCAAGAAATACTCCTATTGTCCCTGGTTTTAGCTACAACTGATCGTGTTAAAAATAAATTAACATTTTTTTTAAACATTCCTCTCCGTTGAGACGCATTTGATGAATTTTAATGGAAAAAGCTATTCGAGAACGTACAATCTGGCGGTAACAACACTTAGTTGTCGTTGTGCTGGAGGGTTAGAGAAGTTTTCCAACTTACCAGTCCCACAAGATTCGTAGATGCTATCAAGGAAGCCGCCGCAACGCCAAGAATGCGGCGCGTCCACAATGAATCGTTAATGGTTTCGCTAAACCAAACAATTTTCGACGGTATAACCTGGGAAAAAACATGATATGTTACGAATTACTATTATTTGTTATATTATGTCATATGATGTTATTAGCTGCCCGTGTACCCGCATTTATCACATAAATAAGTACTAAAAAAAATGGTTTGATATTTTTTGTTATTGTTGATTGGGAAATCCAGTTTATATAAATACTTGCACTGCCAAAATATATTATAATGTGCATTAAACACCTTTACAACCACATCGGTAGGCGACAAGTCCGATCGACTTGAAAGGTTTGTTTAGTTTTCAGACAGACATCAACCTAGTGTATCATTCAACAGTATTATAATGCTATTTTAGCTCTGTAGCATATCCAACATATTATTATTATACGCCAGTTAAATCCAACTCAATGCAAACCCTAAGTCGTAACTGTTGTATCTTATAAAATACAGTGCTTAAAAAAAATGTTCCATCTTTCAACAACAAACGCGCGTGCTATATATTTCCAAGTTTCTTTCTTCTAATGACCGCAAAACTCATTAATAATTAATAACTTACACGTAGGTACATTGAACCTCGCACTTCGATTCGTGAAAATCAAGAAGTAATTTTAAAAACATTAATGCGGTTCGTCGTCGCGTAAACATCGGTAGGTATCGGTTAGAAACACACAGATATTGGACTAACCGAGAAAATAAAAAATAAGTGAACTGTTGCTAGCTGATGTTAACAAAAATGTTATTTCTGGAATGTATGTAAAAAAAATAAGCCGTGCATTGCACTATACCTACCCATTACACCCCAAACAGCTCCCAAATTTCTAAGCAAATAATTATATCTTGTATTCCTATTTAGCGAACAGTAAATAAATATGAATACGCGTAGAAACTGCAGTAATTGCACTTGAAACTCACAAAAAAAAAAATCCAATAAATTAGCAGATAATATATTTTATTTAGATATAATTGACTTTTAACGTAATATGTTTTATAATATTAATGTCTTTATTAATGCATTCCCACTGAAACTAATACTTTTTTAATCGACCATTTAGATAAAACTATATGTACACAATATATTTTTTAATATATTGATTTATCGATTGATTAATAATAGTTGATGAAAAATTGATATTAAAATATTTTTGAGCATCTCCGTTTAATTAATAATGTAATAATATATGTTTTTGAGTTTGCTTCAAGTTCAATTATATATTTTTAAAAATCTTTATATCTATATAATAAAACGTTAATTCAAAATAGCCGACTGCCGCCAGTCGCCTAATCGTCTCTTTCATGGGATTCAGTTGTCTATTCGTCTTTTCCATGTTCCATGCCTGCGTCGGCGGCCGGAGAGCTGTTTTCGTGTCGAAACGTTATCATATATATAATAATAAATATTAAACAATACAAATTAAAAACGGCGAACGGCGTGTTTTGTTTTTTTTTTGGTGAATTTTTGTCTTTGTAGTTTGTTATATTATATACATACAATTATATATTAAACGTATAATAGTTATTATTAATTACATATTTGTCCGTGATTCGCCTACGGTTTTCGTTCAAGAGATTCCCGGTGTGCAAACATTACCTATTAATATGCGTCGTTGGATATTGGTCTATTTTTTAGATTTAGAATACATATAATAATATATAGTATAGTAGTATATTACATTTTGCTTAAACCAAATTATCAAATTAATTAGATGTACAAAATTCTTATCTTTTTCAAACCGCTGTGTGTGGTGATAACGATATATTTCATTTTTTGTTGAAAAATTTGTTGACATATATATCTACTATTTATTTTCAATTAAATAACTTACCCACTTATTTTATATATATGTAAATTATTTGTTTTAGACCAATACTATAGTGAAATCATAACTGACGCGTGTCCGTTTAGAAGATTGATTGCTACTTCTATCTACTCTGTCTTTAATTAATACAATAAGTAGTTATTATTTTTACCATTGGTTACAGACTGTCATCCTATGCCGTCACCGATTAATTTGCCTGCGGCCAATAGAAAACTTACACCGTAGAAGTTCATTTTTTGTTATTTATGAATTATTTTTTAATAATTAGTGCCTATCTAATCTCTATACTCAACCCTAATTTAAATTGACAGTTTTTTTTTTCATTATACAGTGTCTTAACCGACTTCTCTTAACGCTTTAGTTTCTAAACATGCACACACATACGATACTGATGTACAAATAATTAAAACATTAATTATTTCACATTTTTTTGTTAAAGCTGTACAATTATGATCACTACATAGAATACAAATTATTTTAGTTTTTTTATATATTTTTTTTTAATGATATATTATTTCACGTTAAATTGGCATTATTTGAATATATTTTAATTATTTCATTTAGTAGGATGATTTATCTATATAAATATATATGATCACTATGATCAAGTACTATCACTAACCGTTTGGAGTTTTATAAATTGTTTTTTGACTTAATTTGTGGTTTTAATATTTTAACTTTGGAAAATTCAGAAATTGTAGGTAAGCTATGTGGAAATCAACAATTCAAGCTAAAAAAATCTAATAATTGTCATTAAAGTTGAAAATATAGTTTGTATTCTTTGAAATTGACAAACATATAACTTTACTTTTTTAAATCATGTATCTGATTTCACTTGCTAGGTAATTTTTTTTTAGGAAGTATTATTGTAAATTATTTAGTAGAAAAACATTTATTTACCTATCTAAAAATAACATAATACATGGATTAATTTAAAAAAAGTTTATTGTTGTTAAAATAATAATATATATATATAATGAAAAATATTTTTTTAAATAATAATAATAGTATATTTGATGCACTGAATAAAAAGTGTTCAGATCTAAAAACAATCGATTTTTAGTTTAAACGCCTGGGGCTAATTTTGTGTGCTTAAAATTTATATACATTATTGACATAAAATATCTATGTGTTCATTTCGCTCTAATAAGAAATAACTATATTATATGATCTAATTTATTTTAATCACATTATATATAGAAACATCTTATGCTATTGTAATCATTCCAGTTTTTACTCCCTGGCTTTATAATACTTATTCAACCAACGAATAAATGCATTTTTACACAGTCTTATAATAAAAAATTATAGGTATGTTTTTTAAAAGCATCAGCAAAAGTCCCTATATCATCTTTTTAAATTCTTAAAACAGTTGTCTTTAGATTATTTTAGCGTTCAACATTTTGTGTTCTTAGACCGTTTTTATGAGTAGTAATCAAAAACCAAAAAAATTGTCTGAACATTTATTTTTACTAACTATTTAATGTTAATTTTTTATATTATATGTATGTATATATAATTTTTTTTTTTGAGCTGCTGTTGATATAGCTTGAACTAAATTAGATACTTATTAATATTGACTATTTTGGTTTTTTGTGGTGTGATTTCAGACATAGGGCATTATTAAAACATAAAAATAAAATATTAATTTCAAATCATTTTATTGCATTTTAAAATTTTGAAGCATGGTGGTAGAGGTAATATACCACTTTTTCAAAAAATAGCCTACTCTCGCACAGTGGTATATATTTATTACCACCTTCATAATCATGTTCAGAGAAAAAAATGCTGTGCTTCAAAGGGTTAAAATTTATATTGAAAATCAACATTTAATTTACTATTTTATTATTTATAGAAGTATAATATAAGTATTCGCTCCACCCTAAAAAAGTATAGTAAATCTATAGATTTTGCTATATTTTTTTAAATTGATACTACATAATGAAAAATAAAATTATGTTAAAATTTTTGATTATTATCATTTAGTAGGATGAATTGTTGGTTAGCCATCTAAAAATATATCAACATATGGATTTATACCTTTCATGGTTTACTTAAAAAAGTATTAATGTTTATATCAATTTATCTATTATGTATAAAATATGTCTGGATAAGTATCAAATAATTTAGGTATTTTATGCACTGAATATTATTATTATTTATTATTAGTATCATTTTGTACTCTGACCGTTTTTATAATCACCGCCGGACACTCGAATAATCAAAAATATTTGCTACAAATTATTTTTACTTATTACTCTTCAATTATTTTCCTACTTAATATATAGTATATACTGATTGGCCTCTAGACATTTCATTCATGTTTTGTACTCTTGAGTTCCTAAGTAACCGTCACACAAACATATCATTCTTCCACACTTTTAAACTTCTAATAACCAACTAACGTCAGACCTTAAGTATCAAAGTACCTTTAACATAAAAGGTCCAGATCCAAAAACTAAATGATTTGCATCGAGACATTTCATTTAACCTCTCTTTGGACGTTTTTATAAGCACTGTCAAATAGTCGATCAAAAATCAAAATAATGTATTTATCACTCTTCACTTCTTTCCCTTTTAAGTTTTAATATAAACTCTAGACATTTCATTCATGTGATTTACTCTTGAATTCTTAAACACTTATGAACTTCTGTTAAACCACCAGACCTTTAATATACATATTTAATGCATTATGCTGTTGGTTACATTCTAAACGTAAGTACGTCATTACCGAATAATGGCATAGACGGTGATTTCTGAACAAATAAGGATTTTAATTCAACCAATATCTAGACATATAACATACTATGTTTGAAAAAGTTTTGTTGCACATAGGAACACCATATCAGACATATAGCCGACTGACCTCTAAACATTTCTATCTATTTTTAACCATAGCTATTACCAAGCCCGTGAAGTAAACAACACATCAAACAATTCAAATTAAAAAAAAAAAAAAATTGTTCTTTAAGCAAGTAGCACACTAGCTTTAGTAGTAGGACGTTTCTGATCTGACAGATAGCTAGACTTGCACTACAGTTAACCGGTACTTAGCTTGCAATACACTTTTTCGAAACTAAGTATGAACTATGATTACTAGATAAAGATACGATGAATTATAACGTCATTCCTTTAAGACGTATTGCGATGGCTCGACACCGTGGCCGACGCAGCCAGGCACGCTCCTAGGAACCGCTGTGCACTGACTTCCACACACCGTGG